GTTTTACAGAATGTGTTGAACGCTTGTTGTGGACTTTGAGTTGATCGAGCTGGACATGCAATGAGCAAACGTTTGGACCGTGATCACTTTCCCCCCCCAACCGCACTACTTTAGTCACTGAGGTTTGTTGGCAGTATTCTGAAACTCCAGGATCTTAGAATAGCCGGCGCCCCCTGGCTAATTTGACGGGTGCAGGCGGTACCGAATGCACGGGTTCAGGGAGAGTCAGTGGACTGTCATTTGTCAGAAGACTTAGAATTTCTTTTTACACCCAGCCCAACCTCTTTGCACAGAACCATGCCTTCCAGCGGGCCCAAAAATCTCCGATGCTGTCCAGTGTTGAGTAGGTACACAGACCTCAGATTACTCCTGGTATATTTTCTGAAAGACTCTAAAAATCCCTGCAGATTCCTTGGGTGTGACAACATTCTCGCCTGTTCCGAAGCAAAGAGCGAACGACCTATTAAGTTGGTTTTCTAAGTTTGTCAGCAGTCACATGTTGGTGCCAGGTCTCTCGAGAGTGGCTGTGTTGTATTTACTTCCATCTATATAGAAAGAGGCAGAAAGGACGCTGAGCCCTACCAACCTGTCATGCCCCTTCCAATGTTGCTAAAAGTAACAGAAAACTTGATGGACGATTGCGTGATGAAATGCTCCGACAGAAAAGGCGTACTTCATTATTTAGTCATGCCTTCAAAGCGCTAACAACCTTTTGACAGCTTGTGAGGGCTGAATGGACTAAGGATCCATGTCCTGGTAAATTTTTGGAGCTCGCCGAGGCCTAGAACGGCTCCACACGTATCCTTGAGTAGATAATCGCACGATCGGTTGACGGCTGCTGGCTGCTTTCCTAGCTGAGGTACCGCTTCATGAGCTAAGAGCACTGCGAACATGGAAAAAAGGGAAAGCATCATTATCCAAGGTGACAAGAGGAGCCAGGCTCAGTCAATTACGGTTCCCGCTTCATGTGAATGCTGCTGTATGGTATCTCAGATCTCTAGTTCTCCTGTAAGCTCAGCGTGTGTAAGTCTGCGAGAAAGGAAGGGGGATAAAGAAGGTGCCAAACAAACTCAGAAAACCTCGCCTGGTTAACTAGTTACTGGTCAGTCCCGAGCCCAGGTAAGGAGGGAAGGTTGGGCATGGGGCTAGCAACCCTACCCCGCGAAACAAATATAACCACCTAAGAAACTTCAAAGCACAAACAAAATATAAAAAATAGAAACAAATTTATTCCTCGCTGGAATCGGAGAGGCGAAATGACGCCGGTCGGTGAAACCCTACGGGAAGCCAATTGGCCGACGTGTCTTCTCTCCCTCAATGAAAGCGAAAGTAAACGTGGGGACATGGAATGTCCGCACGATGTTTGAACCCAGCAAGGCAGCCCAGATTGCCAACGAGATGAAGAGGTATCACATTGAGGTGCTAGGAACTTGCGAAAGCAGATGGAATGGGAGAGGACCCTCCAAACTCTTAACTGGAGAATCAGTAATCTACTCCGGTCATCCAGATGGCCACCACGAGCACACTGAGGGAGTGGCTATCATGGTGTCCCCAAGAGCATCGAATGCCCTCATGCAGTGGGAACCAATCTCCTCCAGGATCATGACAGCAAGGTTCAACTCAAAAGGAAGGATGGTCACAGTCATCAGATCGACTTCATCTCAGTCTCAAGAAAATGGAGACGCAGTCTACTTGACACAAGGTCAAGAAGAGGAGCACATGTAGGTCCAGAGCGCTCACCATCTGGTGCAAGGAACCTTCCAAATCAAGTTAAAAGCCTTCAAGGAAGCTGGTGATAGACCTCAATTCAAGTACAACACTCGGAAACTGAAGGATGAAACTACAAAGGAGATCTTCAAGGCATTCATCAAGACAAAATGGGAGATATCGAGGAACATCCCTGAAGAAACCTGTGTGAAAGAACACCGGAAGCCTTTGAAAGAGATATGGAAGGAAACCTGCACAGCCGTATTAGGAAGAAAGGAGAAAGAAGACAAGGAATGGATCTCGACGGATACCTGGAAGCTGATAGAGGAGAGGAGTATGGTGAAACAGAAGATGAACCAGTGCAAGGATGCTCAATGACAAGAGGAACTGAGCACAATGCATAAAACACTGGCAAGTGAAGCAGGACGGGCTGCAGGTAAGAGAGACCTGATAACATTGTATCAAATAACCTGCTTGCTATCTGGGAAGAGATCAACGCAGACAAAGCCAATAAAAGATGATGACGGAAATTTAATTACCAAAGAAGAGAAACAAAGGAAACAATGGGCCGACCACTTCAAAAACTTTCGAATAGATAACCACCTGCACTTCGGCCAGAAATACCACCACCAGCCCAGCCACGGAATAACCAGTGAACACAAGCCCTCCCAAGTCCTGAACGCCATAAAGATGCTGAAACCTGCTTCCGGGAAAGCAGCAGGGCCAGATCGAATTCTGCCAGAAGCAGTGAAAACGAACGCAGAGATAACAGCGAACATGCCCACACCACCACTGCAGAAGGTTTGGAAGGATGGAAAGGTACCTGAAGACTGAAAGAAGGGCTACCTGGTCAAACTTCCAAAGGAGGGAGACCTAAGTTTTTGCAAGAACTGACGCGGAATCACGCTCCTGTCCACCCAAAGCAAGTAAAATATTATACCGCATCATCCTGAAGAGACTGAAAGATGCTCTGGATTCAAAATTACGACCGAAACAGGCTGGCTGGCTTCAAGAAGAACAAATCATGTGCAGGCCAAATTGCAACGCTACGCATCATCATTGAACAGAGTATAGAATGGCAGTCAACTCTCCACCTCAACTTCATCGACTTTGAAAAGGCCTTCGACAGCGTCGACCGAGAAGTAATTTGACAGGCAACTGCTGCTTCAACACTACGGAGTGCCATAAACCTTTATCAGCCTCATTCAACAACTATATGAAGACGCCACATGCCAAGTAATTCACAATGGGAAGCTCGGTGATGCCACTGAAGTGAAATGAAGACAGGAGTAAGACAAGGTCGCCGCCTACTACCATCGATCATCTTCCTGATTGTGGTCGACTGGATCATGCAGCAAATCGTGAGGAGCTGTGAGAAAATGGGCATACGCTGTTTGACCGATGAAAAGATCGTACACGATTTGGATTTCGCTGATGACTTGTGTCTGATGTCACACAAACTTGAAGATCTACATGCGGAAACTAACATTGACAGAAGGGGTGAGGCAGGGCAGCTAAGTAAGATTGGACTTCAAGTGAATATAGAGAAGACAGAGGTGATGAAGATACCCAACCGACATCACCACCAACAAGCTACAATCACCATCCACGGGAGAAACTTAAAGGAAGTAGCCTCCTTCACCTGTCTAGGCAGCACTGTTCCAACTACAGGCAACACAGGCACAGACGAGAATGTCAAAGCCAGAATCGGAAAAGCAAGGGAGGCGTTCATTGGCCTGAAACCAGTGTGGAAAACTCTTGCACTCAGCATGTGGAACAAGATTAGGATTTTCAACACCAACGTCAAGTCAGTGCTTCTGTATGGTTGAGGGACTTGGCGCGTTACGAAAGGGATTTCCAACAAACTACAGACATTCATCAACAACTGCCTACGCTGGCTCATTACTGAAGATCAGATGGCCAGAACAATAGGAATAAGCAACAAGGAACTGTGGGAACGAACCATCCAGGAACCAGACTCTCAACAAATATGCACTGGAAGGAAGTGGAGATGGATTGGGCATACACTGAGAAGGCTGACTAGGGACATCACGCGTCAGGCCAGTCACTCGAATGGAACCCTACTGGGAAGCAACGAGTTGGGCATCGGAGGCGAGGGTGACATGGAGGAGATCGTGCGAGGAGGAAATGAGAGGTTATGGGCTGTCGTCGAGGCAGGTTCAAAAGATTTCAGAGAACGGAGAGCATTGGAGACGTACTACTGAATCCCTATGTTCCATTAGGAACTCAAGGGACAAGTAATAATAGATAAACAAACTCAGAAAGCACGAAGGGTGGTTAATGAATAAGGAACTGGCACTTAGCATGAGGAATTGTTTGAAGAGGTTTGGTGGCATCACCATTTCGCAGAAGGCGCACGACTGTCACCGTGGTAAGCACATATCTCACACAACCATGTGATAGTGAGGAACAAAAAACTTTAACGATAGCACAAGTTATTCAAATGACATCTCCAGAGCTAAGGCATTATTACACTACATCTGAGAACAACTTGGTGACTTGGCCCTAAAACTCGTTCTCAAGCTTTAATGGAATAGCACATGACCTCACCTAGAGAAGCACTACATCGCTGCACCACTGCATCTGATAGTGGATAAGAACCTGCTGGAGAAAGCACATTAACAACCGACAACGTCTTATTTGGCACGTAGGAAAACCACGCTAGGATAAACCAAAGGACCTATAACCTTACACTCTTAAGTGTGATAGCATACGGGGTGACTAGTTAGTTTCTTCGAAGATATTAAGTATTACGAGTCACTACAACGGTAAAATAGTGCAAAACGGAGACATGTACGGTAAAACTATGGAGGTCAGATTCAATGTTGTATTTCGTCGAACCCTAAGCTATTGATTCTGGAGAAGTATGTGACGCTACAGATGCTTTGGAGTCGTACATGCCGATATCTGTAATGGTTTGCCCCATAAAGCCACTGTTGAAAAGAAAGATCGTTCGTCGGAAAACAGGAGTGTGCAAAAACAACCTTGGAAATTTGTTGGAGTCGCCTTCGACATTTTCTAAGACACTTGACAGGATCACGGGTAAGTTTTTATATATTCTCGAGACTAAATCATATGAGAGGCAGTATAGACAATAGTATTGCTTCAAAGATAATAAACCTGCTGGAAAAAATAAATATCTTCATTTTTCAGGTAAATTGGATCTATAAATTGTAAATAAGTACCACCTTCCAGAATGATTATGTTGGTCAATTTTGATTGGTCGGAGTATACTCGAAGGCGATTGGGTCTCACTAAAGTTTAGTTGCATCATGTACGTGGGCAGCCGACAGCGGTTGGTATGACTAGTTTTGCTCTACCTTTATGTCTAAAGCCTTGGTCCTAATTTAACCAAGTTGACAAGTATGTTTTGATGTAAATGAGATCTAAAAATTAAGGTACATTGGTTTATAAACTGCGAGTCTGATAATTTTAGTTAACCCTCATGAGGTGTCAGAAATAAGATTTGTTCATATTTGTTGTTGGAGGATAGGAGGCTGGCAGCCTATATTAATCCTTTTCCAATAGATTTCCGTGCTTGTCCAACCCCTGTTTTAACGAGTCAGTTGGTGATCCGGACACCCCTTGTACTTGGAGTCGGTTCCAGGCGTTGATTACTAGACGCGCGAACCAGTACTCTTCGGAGACTATGTTCGTTCTTTGCTTTTGTAATCTCCTACTATATCCTCTGAGATGTTCCGACTTAGTGGGAACGAAAAGAGGAGGTAGACCAGGTCAAAAATCATTTCTTACAATCCTGTGTAGCATGATTAGGTCTCCCTTCTGTCTGCGATAGGACAAAGTGAAGAGATTCAGCTCCTTAAGTCGATGAGGTCAGCTATCGCAGGGATCATACGAGTGACTGCCCTCTGAACTCTTTCTAGAAGGTCTGCGTCACCTTTCAAACAAAGACTAACCGCCCGTGTACAGTTTTCTAATTTAGACCTAACTATAGATGTGTATAAGATGGTGAACACATCGCTTATTTTCGTAAACGTTCTGCGTAATGCCCAGAGAGTCCTAAAACTCCGAGCTGCCACCAACCGACAGTGAGCCGTGGTTTTCAAGTCATAACTCACTGTGACTCCTAGGTCATTGTGGGTCAGTACTGTCAGTAAATGAGTCCCACCAGTATCGTAGGTGTTGCTGTGTTTGTCCCAAGTGCATGCTCACACATTTACATGCATCAGCCACTTCTCTGACCAGGTAAACAAGCTGTTTAAGTCTGCCCGAAGTGCACGTATATCCTCATCGTTCCAAATTTCCCGCCATATTTTTACATCCTCGTAGACAACCGTAGAGAATTTCGTGATATTTAGTAGCTCATTTACGTATAGGAGAAACAGCAGGGGACCCAGAACTCTGTGCCTTGCGGCACTTCACTCTTTACTGACTTCCAAGGGGAGCGTTGGGAATTGATCCTAACTCTTCGTCTCCTACCAACAAGAGAGTCTCTTATCCATGCGAGCAAACTTCCCAGTTTTCCGAACAACCTAGAATGAGGTACTTTGTCGAACGCCTTACTAAAGTCAATGAAAATGACATCTACTGGTATCCTGTCATCTTTAGACCTAACTTTCTCTGGCTGTAAGAAGGTTCGTCAAGCAAGAGAAATTTCTACGAAAACCATGCTGTGAACGAGATAGAGTGTTGCTGTCTAGGTAGACTATGATGGCTTTCTTGATTACTCTTTCTAGGATTTTCACTACAGTACTAATCAAACTTATCGGTCTGTAATTTGATGGGAGCTGCCTGGAACCTGCCTTGTGGATAGGTGTTACTATAGCATCCTTCCAGTCATAGGAGAGTGTGTCTTCACTGACAGTTTGAATATAGTAGTCAATGGGCCGGCTACATAGCGTGCAAGCTCTCTGAGCAGCCTTGGGTGCAGCTCATCCGGTCCCCCTGACTTTTCCATGTCGACATCATTGCCATCGATATCCACAGAGTTTATTCTGTTGGATGTCAATGCTTCTACTGTTGGGTGTCCACAGAAGATTCCTGTGTGAAGACAGAAAAATATAGGAATGCAAATCTCTTGCCTACAATCATGTACTTTAAGTTACGTAAATTTAACCGCATAGCTTCTTCGCAGTCATATCAAGATGATAACCTCGACATGATCAAATGAAAAATTCAGCTAGAAATGTTATCGGTAACTACTTCTGTTTCACTGTTTGATGAATACAAAAAAAGAAATATGATGGTGTAGTTGGTCAATTTAGCCCCTGTTAATTCTTGAAGAAGATATCTGTGTAAAGATCTAACTTACTCTAAATCACGTTCACTGAAGGTGGTGCTACTCGTTAAGTTTAGAAGTTTCAGTCGTTGACCACTTGATGGGCCTACCGAAGAAACTCAGGCTCATGCTAAGTTGATTCGTTCATGATCATGCGCTTGCTTGTAATGGCCTTGGAGATGATCAATCGCAACTGAAAAAATATTAAACGTATGAGTGTCGAAGTGGTCTTCAGGTATATGAAATGGCAGTATGAGAACACGTATGTAGGACAAATGTGTCTTACAGGATATTCAAGGCTTCTATGCTTAGGGGCTGTAACACGTTAAAATCTTTGACTACATTTGCGTTACTGTGTGTGTTTTAAAATCATACCTTGCGATGACACCTAAGTATTTTGGTTCTAAGACTGGGGATATCTGTGTACCGTTAATAGAATAATAGAAGCAATGACTATGACCAATGTACATTATTACTCTAAGTCCACGTCATGCCCTGTAGGGAGTAGATCCATCCATTTGAAGTCAGATGTAGCTAAAGTTAAGTCCATTGATACACCTATGACTATGTTGAGCAAGAACAGTGAAAACCGGCACCCTGCTAGACATCACTACTTGTCGCCGTTTCGGATTTCAACTCCCCATATGCCCTAACGCGACTGCATGAGTCCGAGTAGAGAGCTTTGATTACCATTATATACTTGATCGGTACTGCTTTTATAGTTAGACTGTCACACCACTTCACGGTCGACAAGTGAAATACTGCTTTCAGGTCAAGAAATATGGCAAGTGTTGGCAGCCGGTAAGTATGCCCGTGTTCCAGAACCTGTCGGAGGGTGAAAATCTGATTGACTTGCCCTCGTCTAGGTCTGATCTTAGATATGGTGTTAGTTAAACTAGTCGCTCAATTTCACAAGGACTTCTTTCCGTTATTATAGACTGGAATGATAAGTGAACTAGACCAGTTCTATGGGACTGCCTCTGATTTCCATACGCTACATAGTACCTCCAAACGTGAAAAATTCCAGTGGAAAACCGTCAAATCCTGCTGCTTTGCATCGTTGAAGGTTCGAAAACAGCCTTCTCAACTTCGACGAGAGTTGGAGGACCGACATCTACGTTCGATTCAGGTTCGGGCTGGATACTAGCCAAATGAATTCTTGCTAGACCAGTTGAACTGTGCTTCGAAGTGTCCTAGCCATCTGTCCTGAATGGTTGTCGGCTTCCCATCCTTTTCGGTAGTGGTTTCATTAGCCGTCTTCTTCCTACCGGTAATCTTAGCACACCTAAATAATTTCTAGGAATTACTTAATGCCTTCTCCACTTCTCTCGCTTTCGCCACGCACTACTTCTCATGGTCATTGAGAAGACTCTTATTCAATTTACGTTTAAGTTGATTTCGCTTTTCCTTGTAGTCAGAGTCACCTGGAATCAGCCTTCTTACATCAGTCAGTTCGGATAACGTTGCGGAAATCCACTGACTTTTTCTAACCTTTGGATGTAGGTTTCCAACTCCTTTTTCCACTGTTTCTACAGCCGATTGAATATCATGTGAGATTTCCTTGGGACGGGAATTGCTGTCATGTTCAGATAAATGTTTAGCTATCTCCTCCTTAAATACGCACTTTACACTCATTATCCAGTCCAGCATGTACAGGCTTCACTACCAGCTGTTTTTTGTGACCAGCAGGGCGCAGAAATATTCCGCACTAGTGTGTGATCCGAGTCTAAACAGTTACTCTAGAAAGAGCGTCAATCCTCGACAGATCGTCTCTAACGATGGCTGATTGCAATATGATCTGCTTGTGTCCGTCCTTGGTTTGATGTTAGTGGGCGTCATGTGAAACAGTGTATCTCCCTATTCTTAAAGTGAATGCTGATTAAAAACAGGTGATTCTCAGAAGGAAATCTCAAGAGATGATCACCATTGTCGGTTTGTTGGCACCGGATTCCTTAGATACCCCAAAGATACCTTTCCGACTGTTTGAGCTTTCTTACTTGATTACTGAATTCGCTTGCTATTATGACTATATCTGAATGCATTAATTTATGCTACAAAGTCGACAGCTTCTGATAGACTTCATCCGAACTATAGTCGGTGGTTGCGTAAACAGAAATTACGAATAGGCTTCGACGAGTGTCGCAGTCGTTTCCAGTTCTCATAAATACGTTCAGTCGGGCAGCATAAAGATGGCTCTTGACTAATATTCAGTCAAGAAACTGTCAGCTATTGACTGGTTTCCAGTCGAGAGGTACATTTCAGCCCTACGACTCAGTGCTACTTGTACACCAGCCAGTCCATGAGAACTAGTCACTGAATCTATATCACCACCATCATTATCATCAAAATTAACATAGGACCAGCGATTACTGCGTAACGGTCCAAGTGCCCACATCTCATATCAGCACATCTCTCTCTAGGTGATATGGCTCAGAATCGAAGTCAGTGGCGCAGATGTATACACACATTATCCTCATCTTAACAACGCTATACCGAATCTCACTATTTTGTCACTCCTCTTTCCTTTCTTCTCATACTTTATATTTCTTTTGACTGCATTCACTTATCTTCATCCTTCACCTCACTACCTTTTTACTTGATGTGCTGATATGAGGTGTGGCAACTCGGACCGTTACGCAGTAATGCCTGGTCCTATGTTGATAATGATGATGATGATGATGACATCTCCAGAACCCTTGAAACGAATTTCGAGTATTCATTACATCGGTCAGGTGAGGTCATGTTAATGACCACATTGATGTCCTGTATATGTCTGAGAAACGTAACATAGATCCATGACTCGAGGTTCCAGAGTTTCTGGAAGTGACGACTATCGTCCGATTTGGTATAAGGTTTTTGATCCAGAAAGCCCTAGTGTGATATTTGCAGTTTTGTTTTAGGAGGATAGAAATGGTTTGAATGGTAGGTCATGTTTAGTTAGGTTTCGTATAATATTGGAAGTATGTGAGCCGTTGGTGCTTCGCATCGGCCCACACCATGAAATGGTTTCTGTAAGGTAACCGAAGAAGGATTGGTTTTATAAGTGAAAAACTTGGGCACTGTGGTAGAATGTAGTTCCATATTAGATTTGTTTATTTGATATAAAGCGCACAGTGATACAGTATTATTTAATTGATTACGTTTCGAGCATAAATTATTGCTCATAATCATATCAATCAATTGATATGATTATGAGCAATAATTTATGCTCGAAACGTAATCAATTAAATAATACTGTATCACTGTGCGCTTTATATCAAATAAACAAATCTAATAAGGATTGGTTTTGTTTGACCGCTAAGTCCAAGAGATATCAGCTTGAGGCTGTTTACACAGCCTTTTTGAAGGTTCGGAATTAGACTTTGGCTACCTTAAATCTATCGAGTAAACCATACCACTAGCAGGGAAATGCCACAGGGCTGGGAGTAGTGTTCTTATTTTGGAACCTACCTTTTCTAACCCCTCTCCTTACATAGAAAAGATAACACCAGCATAGGTTATATTTTATCTGTGGGAAACGTCTTTTGTCACTCTTCATCTAGTCAGTGGTTACACATAGCTTTCTTACACCCAGTGTAGGATAGCTACTGACGCTACGACAATAACTACTTTCCGTTTTATCGCTATCCAAAACAAAAACTTTTATCATGTTGTACCTCAACCAGCAAAACTCATTGGGCCATTGTGATATGAAAGCCTATTACATGAAGGTATTGACTATTGGTTAATGAATGAATCAAAATGCAAAGAGATGAATTCTCACGGCTCGTGTCCCATGAAATACTTACCCACTGGAGAGACTTGGTGACCGGTTAAATTCCTTCAACTATGTATCATGTCGGTGTCATGATGGATAATGATAATAATGCAACCCAAGCCAGTGAAGGTACATATGGCAGGCTATGAGCCATACCTTGTATATGACTGATGCAACGTTTTAGTCGAACCACCTTTAACATCCTCTTCATCCTGACCCTACTTCATCTAACATAACGTATAAAAGAAACAGTCTCCAGGTAGGCGTAAAACATCAGCCAATAAAGTTTTAATACCAGGTCAACTAGTGAACCTCGCTTATGAGATGCGAGCAATAAGTATCAGGTAGTGGTTATCGAACACCTGGAGTACTACAACTTTACTGACGATGTTTCGCAGCTATATGGTAAAATGGAGCCATCTGCTGCGTACTACATTTGATTCCTGATAGAAATTCGGGTGTCTCGCTGGTTCCATCATTGTTATGAGCTTGCAACAGCTGGTAAAGACTTTCGTATACATACAGAGGCTTTGTAGGTCACTGAACCATCATCACTGATCCTACTTTTGAAGTATGTGAAGTGACCAACACGCTCAACCCCTTTATCCCCCACTTGTGGACACGATGGCGTCTCGGACTATTCCTTAAACAACAGTTTGTATTTGGGTGATAACTACATCCAAAAAACTCTCAAATCGCCGACCGACATGTCCGGAAGAGTTCGTATCTTGTCAAGATCCCTAAAAGACAGGCTTTTGTTGCCCGTGCACTGCAAGCCAACCTAGGAACCTTCGTTGGTAAAACTAGTCATCGTGAAGTAAAATCGGGAAACGGTGACATCCATGGCTATATCTGCGATAAAGGTGAATGACGGTTGAGAGAGTGGATATCTTGATGGACACCACCATAGATACACATCTCGCCCAACAGCTTGCTATAGGGTCTAAATGACCACTTGTGTTGGAGTATAGCGCCTTCAATAGGGTGGTGAATTTCAAGGCAATCGTTTCAGCGACAGGCATTGCTATGAGACCTCTCGGTCGACGGAGTTCGATGTTTCCTTTAGGTGGGGAAATATAACTGGTTTCTAATGCACGTGAGTGTACCTGTCTTTCGAGATCTCGAGAAGAGCGAAGATCTGATTGACACCCACACAACAAGGTTTGAAATCTTCGTCTAATCACATTCGTGGGTGGCTGGAACAGAAAACTAATAAGCGTATTCGACAGTTTTGTCACCGCAACATAGCCCAAGTTCATAACACAGTTATAGCAAGTAGTTACGATTATGGATTCGATCGGGTTGGATTCTGAAAGTACTACTTAATAAATTTTCTGCTTGACCTAGACTTCCCATTTTTGGAATTAATTCGTGTCATGATGACTATGGCAGGAAGCTAGATAGTTTTCATTCAGGCTTATCTTTCATTTCATCTGAATTGCAGCCATAGGTTGCGTGAACTTAACTGCAGTATAAAAGTGGAGTATCTGTACTTGTTTGGCGTTTGCCGATATGCGCCACTAATGGTGACGATAAGATACCTGATTATTTATCAAAGGACAAGTATACTCTGTAGCATTTCACTTGATTCCACTGTGCAGCTGATACTAACTCTTGAAAGCAGATGTGAATAGGTTACAGGTCCTTGAACATAAGTGTCTTTGTAGCATTGTCAGTTTGTGGTACAGTAACCACATCCACAATGTTGAGGCTAACTGTAGAGTACTAGACAAGGAAGGCGAGTCATTTGAGGAGAGGAGAGTACGTGTAAAAGTAATTAGTGCGGTAAAATTGATTTTATTGTGGTAGGAACGTAAAGAGAAGGCCCAAGGTATATCTAATGGAGGCTGGATAGATAGCTTTCATTGAGCTTTGTGTTACGTTAATGTACTTATTCTGACATGAATGACGGTTTATGATAAACCTTCGTCACCTTGACCGACGTAGGTGAAGCCGAATATGAACTAGGTGAGTCAAATGCCTAAGCCAATGAGCTGTTTCTCCACTTTCTTAATTGAAGAACTCTTACCTCTTGCTTTGAAAATCCTTGGGGGTAATTAATAGTATATTGCTTTTAGAATCATCTATTTTAGCCCTTCCGTCTGATAAATGAAGTGCACTATCGTCGTATAGTGCTGCTTACAATCGGCAAATGCCTTACTGCTGTCTCTCCCTCTTCAACTTTGAATACGAATTTGATCTCGGATCCTCATCATAGCGTTAGTTATTTATACTATGGGTGGCAACTGCTTATACTAGTGCTACTACTCAATAGACCTCTCTGGCATGGTAACACCTCAAGGGGTGATCATAACCATAGTTCACTGGGTAACTATGATATACAAGCCTTATCACCACATCAAGTTAGCAGGTTTTGGTTAGGAACCTAGATTTCCAGACTGATAACTAAAACCAGTGATCAGGTATTTGCAGATATGTTTGTTGGAGAGAATTCGATTGAGAACTTTTAGCTGTCTCAACTATATTTCATGAAAATCCTTTCAAGTCATCACCCACTGACGCAAATAGTTGTCCATTTGTACCATATAAGTAAGATCTGAGTGTTTTCATCACTGATCATCCGTAGAAGTTATTTTCTAAGAAAATCAATTCCCTGTAATTTTCTAATCAACCATTATAAACATAGAAGAAAAACTGCCTACATATTTATGAATAATTAATATGTTATCTAATACCCGTAGGTTTTTTTTCTAAATATCATGGGAGTTCCTGGCCTATGGCGTTTGTTAGAACCTGCAAGAGTGCCTATAGAATTACAACAGCTCTCAGGTAAAATTATAGCAATCGGTAAGTTTCGACATTTTTATTTAACTGCTCACGTATATTTTTGTGTGCTAGTGAAAGGTTATTCCTCACAGCTATCCTTATGGAATTTCTCTGTTGATAATTCTTCAGCACTTTTTGTAACATGAATGTCCGAACATTTCGGAATCCGTTATTATTGTACGAAGCCAGTAGAAAAGTACTGTTGAGACTTCTGTATATTTGAATTCGTAACTTTACTTGGCATTTTTAACACACATAATGGGCATAACATCGCCACCCAGCATCACATTGGTATGCTAAGCGATCTTTCCCAAGTGAGTTATTTAAGGTGTATAACTTTGTGCAACAGCTTTTTTATATGCACATCCAAATCCTATAAGGAACACTAAAATATCCTTCGGTATCACTAAAACTTGTTAATCTCCTTGGCTTTTTTGATTCTTAAAAGTACTGCGATAATATGAAGATTTCAAAGATATCTTTGCTTTTATACGTCACTGCCACCAGGATGATACTCCATAATGATCTGTTTTCCTAAATAAAAAATGCTACCAAATCATGGTAGTTTATGTTTTACCATACATTGAAGGCACTTAATAGGTAAACGTAAAAACAGAAAAAAGGTAATCATTTCATAAAGTCATACATTTCAGTTCTCATATGTTAACTAGTCGCAGCAAGCACATCAGTGACAAAGTAAACTAGTTTGTATAGGGCTGTCGTCGTAAGATAATCATGATGGATAGCTTACTTTCTGTAGATGTGTTTGTTTAACCACTTTTAACCTTCATTTTATTTTCTAAGGCCAACTATTGGCTCGAATACCCCAAATTTAGTCTGTAAGCACAGACAAAGTGAACTGTTAGTGCAAAATAGATATGGCTTTTTATCTTGGACACGGTAGTTTGGTGGTTACGCCTAAATACGCAGTAATTCAACAATTTTTATCATCACACAAAAGTGCAACGTTTTGATTTGAAACACTTCATGGAAGCACATATAGAGAAGTAGAAAGATATTGAAATGAGAAGAATATAAGCGGGAAAAAAATGGACAGTGTGGCCAATAAGAGGCTTATGACTTTAAATATGATATGTAGTGAATTCATCTGAGTCACTGTACTCGATTTGCAACGATGTCACGTAACCTATGCAACAATTAGTTCTTAAGATCATGCAGAGATCCCAACTAGACAGTCTGAACTTCCTATTACATTCAGTCCAACAGGTATTAACCTCATGGACAAATTTTGTCCTTTATTTTCGCCTCATTTAGCTGTCGCCTCATTAAGTGTTAAAGGCAGTCAACACCAATGTCGGACAACGCGTAGCTACCTAGTGCACCATATTGCCAGACCTCAAATCACCATATCAAGATAATAAACACATAATTGATAGAGGAGTGAGGAAGAAAGTCACCAGAAGCAATGGAAAGTTGGAAAACAAGAACGAAAAGAAAGGAAGTAATGGACAGTTTTGACTTGAAAATCAAGACGAATAGAATATGTGGATGGATCTGCAACACTGTGACCAACTTGGAGTCCTATCACTTAGAGTCTCCGACTACCGATCTCCTGGTGGTTGGCCCACGCTGACATCGACCTGAAAACCTGTCTCTGTTCAAGACCGAGGCAACAGACATAAAATTAACTCATTCATCTCCTCTTTCAGTCCTGCCGCCTCCAACCTTTCTCCAGCCGAAACTGAATTCAGGTAATGTAGCACAATGGGATAGATGGTGACTAGACGCGCTTAATACATATAACAGCCACCTAAGTCGAGGGAACTTCACAATATCACAAACTAACTTGCTTCTCGTGCCTGAAACCCTACGCCCTTGATCTTTAATAGCCATGTCTCATAGCTGTACAGAACGAACTGAAGCACACCATACTCACCCTTTAAAAGACAATCGGATATCACGGATGCGTTGTTGGTGGTGTGAGCTGTTAAAAGCCAGTCCAACCTTTCGAATCAATGCACACATCCGGTCGATCGAATGAACCACCAGTGTTAATCCGACTTCCCACTCAGTCAGTGGGGAATTAAGTAGAGATTACAAAGAGAAAACTGCGAGTTTCACTGTCCCTTTTAGTCCTCACTGTACCATTCAGTTAAACTTGCTTACCTCTAAACCGACATCTACAAGACCGCGAAAGCCAGCCACTGAATCCCTAGAAACTCGAAGAGTGAATTTCACAAACACACCGTATTGACCAGGTAAGATTAAATGAATAATCACACTTCGGTTCCATATGCGCCCATCTCAGAAACACAGCACACGTCCATGGTCCGAGATGCCAAAATATTGCCTAGCACAATTTCTTGTCCAATTTGACGGTGGGTGTGGACGTTGTAAGCGTTTATATATAGCCGAAGGACGTGGGTTTCCTCAGATGAAGTGCATTCTCAATGCTGACGGTTTCTAGTCATCATGACACTGACAAGCACATTCGCATACAGTTCACTTCAAACAACATGCTGATAGGTAAAATATTCACCCACTTATCTTTGTGGCCACGTACGACCATCGTGTTAACCAACCACAATCGAATTCAGTGAAGACTAAGAGCTCCAGCGTGTTGTTTGCAGTGTGGTTTCAGGAGACCTATATTCCTGTTGCGTGAACTCGAATCTCTGTAGAGAAATACAGAGCTGGAAGAAGTCAGAGATGATGTGGAAATACTGACCGAGAGATGTCAATAAAGATTAGAAGGTAAAGGTGTGGAAGGCTGATAATGATCCGAGGGGACCTGGTTGATGACAGACATGTAAGAGCGGACGGATGACACTTCCAATCTGCCAACACCGTAAAAGGCTACTACTTCCTGGTGAGGTAGTTTAAAAATAATTCTATTAGTAATAGTGTCCGACGACCGTAGAGTTCAAGGCACATCCAATTAACCGATTGAGGTCGGCCACATACAACCTTCTCATAATTTTGAGATTTATCTTTGGTTTCTTTCAATCCAACTAGGAAACACACCATAGTCTCAGTACCTGAAGACTGTCTGACAGGAAGAAGTGTACTATTTTTGGAGCTGACTAATCCTAACCCACCCACTTCCCACATAAGAAGGAAACCAGTATCAAACAACGACTGCTCTTCATCCACTGGAAATACCTTACTTCTAACACACTGGATGCGGTCAGCAATGTGACGTTGCTATCTGACCGCCATTACAGAGTATCTACTTACACTACAACAGTAACGGCTTCCTGTCTCATCATTATCCGACAGACCTTCTGTTTTGGTAAGACCTCACGGAACATATGTTCGCACCGGCAGAGCTCGTTGGGTTTTTGTGTTATGGAAGTCCAACCGCCACGTCAACGTTAGCAACTATTGGTTCGAGCTGCGTGGCGTAGTAGTTCAACTATTTTTTTCCCCGTGAATGTTCATCGTCATATATTCCACGCCTAGTTTTCCCGTAGCTTGTACGAATGATGGTACAAAATAGCACATCAATGAAAGCTTATCCCTATTTGATTGCATATGCGTCTCACAGCTGTTCAGTAGTATAGTCATAGCCAATACTCTTGGTGTATGTATATCTATGCTATTACATTCTTTTCAAGTCTTCCGCTACCATGTTTATCTGCGGCAACCAAAACGTAGACGACAATGTACAGCTGGATTACATCTGTGCTTACCATTAGGTTTTCAGGAGTCTATCATCTCATACATATGTAGACAACAATGTGGTTTAGGGTAAACACATTTCAACTTCGTAGGTAAACCAATGTTCACTCGCTTGAACTCATTCTACATTGTTCTTTGCTGGGAAGGAAGGTGACGAAATGTACTTTCAGAAACTATGTAGCAAAATATTCCCATGTGGTTTTTTGAGTAGTGATGCCAGACTATTCGTATTGATTGAAATAGACCGCTATTACATAATGTTACTAGGGTTCTGTCCAGCGAATTAGTAAGCACTGTAGGCACTCCTTCTTATTGTACACTTTTTTGATCATATTATTTCTAAACATTGGTGGATTGTTTGAGAAGTCATGACTTAGAAGTTCCAAAAATTTTTTTCGACTAAAATACTTATTCGAATCAATCGTATAAAATTACCAATCTCCCACTGTTGATGATTGGTACTTATAATCCCCAGTAGTCTATGGGAGTGTAGATGATTTTAAGAGAGTGACTAGTATTCTTACTATTTTTACTGTGACAAAAAGTTGAATATGCGGCTCACTCGGTTTCAATATAAGTCTATTTTTTAAAATGGTATTGGGTTTTAACAAATTATCTTCTATTACTGTTTACTTCAGATATGAATATCTGGTTGCATCAAGCTGTTAAGTCTCGAGGTGCATCAGGTGGTCCTCGCAACTATTTAGCCATATTTTTCCGTCGCTTATGCAAGCTACTTTTCTTTGGTATCCGACCAGTGTTCGTTTTTGATGGTGATACACCTGCGTTGAAACGAGCAACTATGGTGAGTTTCATTTTTGTACGCATGCATTTGTTATATTTTGTTGCTTGCTTGAGGGAAAGAAACCTCTTTTGGCGTGAACAAATAAAAATAATGTAGGGCTCCAATACCGAACCAAACCTTTATACTATGTTAGGCTCGTAAAGTGAAACCAATAACACCATAACCAAGAAAGAGAAGAAAACTGAAAGTAGTAAGGTGAAATAGCAACTGAGAGGTAAGGAATTAAAAGACGTCAATTGTTTGTAACAGAATAGATGCATGTAAGCTACAATGGTCATCATTGAGCTGTACTGCTTAAAGTCTCAGGTTGCTGGTTTCGGCACCATTCTCAATACAAACACCCCATATTTCCACACATACCTGAATCAGTGTCCGTTTAGATTTATGACACTTCCTTGTTTGGCTATCCTAGAGCTTATTTCACTCCACTTCAATATAATTAAACTGAAAGTGGAATCTGGAAACTGCTAATAAAATTTAAGCAACTTTAAAATTGTTAGAACAAGTTTCAGATTGGTACGATTATTACCTTGATTGTGGATAATAAATTTTGTCTGAAACATTTTCAAGTATGGAATACTCTATCAGTGTAATATATCAAACAAATAGCCTAACTTGAAACTATGCTCCACCGTAATGCCGAAGTCGAGTGACTTTAAAGGCCACCCTAGCAACTGATGAAACAGCCAATTAAATTCCTTTATTTTATGGAAAAGTACTTTCCCAGGCGACATATAGAAGGTTGTTTGGTCTATTCAGCCTTCAAAGTCATCCGCCAAAGTCCAACCATTAGTTCTAGTTTACCGCGAGTAATACTTCTTTATTGACATAGACTTCTCATAAACTATATTCAGTGAATAGGTTTCTGTCATAATGCACACAAGTTTGAATTTTTCTTCTATTTCTAAGTCTAAAAATGATCCATCACTTTTTGGTTAATTAATAACAGAATGCAAGACGTCAGCTGCGTAGTTCAACCGAGGCTAAGGCAGAAAAAGCTCAAAAACACTTTCTTCGTCGCCTTTTACGTCGTGTTGCAGAGTCTACAGTAAAGTCAAGTTCATTGTCATCTAATGAAGCACAGTCTCCTGAAACTTTAGGTAAGTTATAACCTCTGTTGTTAGAATTAATTAACACCATGAATTGAGGTTTAAGGAATAAAAGCGTGCAAAGATCAGAAAAAAAGCGATCACATCATCATGCTAAGTCTATTTTTACTATTATGATCACTATTATCATCATTTTCTCTCTTCCTATACGCTTTTTTCTACTTTAAAATCTTTTTTTCTCCGCTTATTCTTTTCATACTCCTGTGAAGTGTGGCAACTTCAATGGATGCATTTCTCTGATAGTTCTACTGTATATCGTTCACTTTATCTGTCTGATTTTGCTGTGTAATCTGATCATGTTTTCAAACAGGGGTGTATATTTTATGATATTTCTTAACATCCAATATAGGGTGTATGTCGTGGGACCACGACATCAAGGGCGTAGGAGTCAGTCGTAGGGTTTCTAGCTGTAGAAGCAAGTTCATTGGTGATATTGTGAGGTTTCATCGACTCAGGTTGCTGTGACATGGGCTACAGATGTCTGTTCCTCGTCTACTCAGTCGTGCCACGGTTCCTGAAGTAGGTGTTTACTGGAGAAAGATTGGAGGTGGCCATGTTTATAAAGGGCGTGAGTTGACGAAGCCTCCTACTGAGGGGTGCAGGGGGGGACATTGATGTCCGCGATCAGGTCGCCGTGGCAAGTGTGATCGGTGGTTGGAGACCTTAGGTAATGCATTCAGAACCGGTAGCAGTGGCACTGATCCATCCACAAATTACCTGCAACTTTGTTGTGATGTAGAACTTGTCTACTGTTTTGTTTCTTCTTGTTCTTATTATACAAGTTTCGCTTGCTTTTCATGACTTCCTTCCTCGCTCCTCTGTCTATTACCTTAATATGGGTTGTAGCAGCTTGGTCCGTTACATGGAAATAAAAGCTTCCATATTAATTGCGACTATCTGAACAGTGGTATGCGATTAGGAATTTGTTTGCTAAGTGAATGATATTAAATTCCAAGTCATGCTTTGGCGATAATTTCCTTTTTTGCTATTTTGCCATTTCACTTCATTGTCAGCAAATGTGCCCTGTCGTCTCATGAATGTTGAGGTAACCCTATTTTCAAATGTTTGACACCAGCCATCGCACTGACTGTTCTTATTTCTCTTTGACTGAAATCGAGTTGAGTAACTCGCTATGATTTTTAAAATTTAACTATTAGAAGTGACCTCATTTTCCCTACTAGTTCCCATGCGGAAGAATGATGCTGGAAGTAGAAATAAATCTTGTAAGTCTAATCATCAAAGACGATTCTATTGGAAATTATTGATAACATGGGAATTCAACTCATATGTTTTAGCACTTGACATTTTTATGGTGAGTCCTGTGTTTGAACCCGGATCCTCGTACTGAGAAGCCCTCTCGCCATGTGGTTCATGTTCTAGTACGCGGACATTTTACTGGATTGAGTTACATGCACTCTACATTTTTATGCCTCTTTAATTATTAGTTTCGAGTATTTCATATGAGAAACCGTAAAAAACGTCGAAGTAGCGTGTAAACTTCGAAATCGAGCACATGAGATATGTTAGAAATACAGTACTGTAATATTGAGTGAGATAAATATTACGAAATTTACAAACCTCAAATCATGAGATGTCTAGATGTTTGTCAAACAGACAAATAGTTATTACAGTGCATCTGTAACAAATAATGATCGTTAAGATGTTTAAATAAATAAACTGCAGTGAATTATCAAATGTGCGCCATCATGCGGACTTAGATAACGGAGTAAAGGATAAACAAGTGTTTAAAAAACTATATTCACACTCATAAACGGGACGAAAAACATTACAATACAATCAGTAAAGAAGAAAATGAACCAAATTGCGAAAACCTGTTGGGGCAAAATTTAATCGCAATAAATGTATGTATTCAACGTTGTTCATTTCAATAAAATGAAAATATGATCAATACTATTTATTATCAACTAGTAGCATAAATCTTAAAACATAAAAAGCTACGTATGTAAATGTAGCGGCGATACAGAAACGAAGTATGGAAAAGTTGAAGTAACGTATGGTAGTTTACTTGGTTGTGGTTAGCACAGGAATCCAGGATGCTAGTTTCATCCTATTCAGGACTCGCCAACTTGATGTGCCTTCACCCCAGTGAATGATGTTATCCCCACTGAGACTCGAACCTCACATGCATCGCACCAAACACCAAGGTGTTATCCACTAGGTTACCACTTGTACAGCGGGTATCAGTCATTACTATTTGTTGACATACTTGTAATTATCCGTTGTTTTACTGAGTGTAATTGCTCGACCTCTGTTGGCACATGGACTCCTATGTGGATGTCTCGAGATTACCTGGATGTTAATTATGGTAATTTACAACCAAGTAAATTATCATAATTAACATTCAGGCAATATCGAGGCATCTGCATTTATTATTTATTATTTTTCCCTCGGGTTCCTAGTGGAACATAGGGCTTCAGTAGCACGCCTGCATTCCACTCTCTTCTCTGCAGTCTTTTGAACCTGGCGCCACGACTGCCCACAAGCTTTCATTTCTTCCTCACATGATCTCTTCCATGTCACCCTCACCTCGGAAGCCCAACTTGTCGTTTCCCCTTTGGATTCCACTCGAGGGCCTGGCCTGAGCGTGATGTCGCCAATCGGTCTTCTCAGTGTGTCCAATCCAATCCATCTCCACTTTCTTCTGCACATTTGTTGGGCGATAGGTTGTTTGTTGGTTCATCGCCAGTCAGAGTTCCTTGTTGCTTATTCTTTCTGGCCATCTGATCTTCAGTAATGAGCCAGCGTAGGCATTCGTTGATGAATATCTGTAGTTTGTTGGAAATGCCTTTCGTAACGCGCCAAGTCTCTGAGCCATACAGAAGCACTGACTTGACTGGATTGGTGTTGAAAATCCGGGTCTTGTTCACGCTTTATGCTGAGTGCAGTGCAGTAGATCTCCAGACTGGTTTCAGGCTAATGAACGCCTGTCCTGCTGTCTTTCCGATCCTGGCTGGCTTTGACGTCCTCGTATGTGCCGCTACCTGTAGTTGAGACAGTGCTGCCTAGAAAGGTGAAAGAGGCTGCTTCCTTTAAGTTTCTCCCGTTGATGGTGATTGGAGCTTGTTGTTGTTGTTGGTGGTGGTGGTTGCGTTGGTTGGGTATCATCATCACCTCTGTCTTCTCTACGATCACCTGAATGAAGTCTCATCTTCTTTTGCTGCCCTGCCTCTCCTATCAACTTGTTAGTTTTCCCCTGTATATCTTCGAGTTTGTGCGACACTAAACACAAATCATCGGCGAAATCCAAATCTTATAAGCTCTTTTCATCGGTCAAATAGCGTATACCCCTCTTCTCACTCCTCACGGTTTGCTGCATCATCCAGTCGACCACAATCAGGAAGATGATCGATGATAGTAGGCGGCAACCTTGTCTTACTCCTGTCTTCACTTCACTTCAGTGGCATCACTGAGCTTCCCATTGTGAATTACTTGGCATGTGGGGTCTTCATATAGTTGTGGAATGAGGTTGATAAAGGTTTATGGCACTCCGTAGTGTTGAAGCAGCAGTTGCCTGTCAAATTACTTCTTGGTGACGCTGTCGAAGGCCTTTTCAAAGTCGATGAAGTTGAGGTGAAGAGTTGGCTGTTATTCTATGCTGTCTTCTATGGTGATGTCTAGCGTAGCGTGGCAATTTGATCCGCACTTGATTTGTTCTTCCAGAATCCAGCCTGTTCCGATCGTAATTTTGAATCCAGAGCATCTTTCAGTCTCTCCAGGATGATGCGGCTTAATATTTTGCTTGCTTTGGGTGGACAGGAGCGTGATTCCACTCCAGTTCCCGCAAAAGCTTAGGTCTCCCTTCTTTGAAAGTTTGACCAGATAGCCCTTCTTCCAATCTGCAGGTACCTTTTCATCCTTCCAATCCTTCTGCAGTGGTGGTGTGAGCATGTCCGCTGTTGTCTCTGCGTCTGTTTTCAGTGCTTCTGGTGGAATTCGATCTGGTCCTGCTGCTTTCCCGGAAGCAGCTTTCAGCAACTTTATGGCATTCAGGACTCCTGCCTTTGTTTCTCCTCTTTGGTAACCATCTTTCCTTCACTAACTTTCATTGATTTCATCTGCGTCGATCTCTTCCCAGGTAGTATTTTGGTTATTTGATGCAGTGTTTTCTCAGGTCTCTGTCTCTCCTATCTACAGCCTGTTCTGCTTCACTTGTCAGTGTGTCGAAGAGGTATCTTTTGTCTTTGCGTGCGCTCTTCTTCACTTCTTTATCCAGCGTTTTATACCTTGTACTCAGTTCCTCTTCTCGTTGTGCATTCTTGCACTGGTTCATCTTCTGCTTCACCATCCCCCTCTCCTCTATCAGCTTCCATGTGCCCATCGAGATCCATTCCTTGTCTTGTTTCCTCTTCCTTCCTAATACGGTTATGCAGGTTTCTTTCCACATAGAGCTTTCAAAGAGTTCCAGTGTTCTTCTACACAGGTTTCTTCACGGATGTTGCTTAATGTCTCCCATTTTGTTCTGACGGCTGATGTGGAGGTGTCCTTTGTAATTTCGTCCTTGAGTTTCTGTTTTAGGTGTTCAGCTTCAGCTGTTTTCTATCATCATCAACCTCTTTGAAGGTTTTCAACTTGATTTTGAAGGTAGGTTCCTTGTACTAGATAGTGAGTGGTGTGAACCTACATCTGCTCGTCTTCGTGATCTGATGTTGTGTCCAGTAGGCTGACTGCGTCTCCACTTTCTTGAGATTGAGATGAAGTCGATGGGATTTTTAGTGTGTCCATCTGGAGAAGTCCATGTCACTCGCTTTTGAATATCCTTGTGTTTTTATGCTGCCTCCAATCACGAAATCTTTGAATGCACAGAAATCTGCAAATAGTTCTTCGTTCTCACTCATTTTGGCGAGTGCTGAATGATTGTGACTTTCCTTTCTTTGAGTTGAATCCTGCTGTCATGATCCTGATGCTGGAGGAGATTGGTTCCCACTGCACGAAAGACTTCGATATTGTTGAGGAAATCATGATTGCCACTCCCTGCGTGTGCTCGTGCTTGTCGTCTGGGTGACAATATCAGAGTAGATTATTCACTCTCCAGTTAAGAGTTTGGAGAGTCCACTTCCATTCCATCTGCTTTCTCAGATTCCCAGCCCAGCACTTCTATACCATGCCTCCTCATCTCTTTTGCAATCTGGGCAGCCTTGCCAGCCAGCCAGCCAACTTCAAACATTGTTCGGACGTCCCATGTCCTCATGTTTACTTTCGCTTTCATCGAAGGGAGAGATATCGACCAATTAGCTTCCCGAAAGCTTTCTCCAACCGGCGTAATTTCGTCTCCCCGATTCCAGCGAAGAATAAGTTTGTTTTTATATTTTATTTGTGCTTTGAAGTTTCTTTGGCGATTGGATTGGTTTTAGGTGGTAGGTTTGCTAGCCCTATGCCCAACCTTTCCTCTTTATCCTGGCTTACGACCGGCTAGTAACTAGTGAACTTGTTAACCAGGTGAGGTTGAGGCATCCACATAGGAGCCTATATTCCAGTAGTGGTCGAACAATTCGATCCAGTAAAACAACGGAGAATTACAAGCTCATCAATAAATAGTAATTAAAAGTAATACCGTTGTGCATAGATTTGATCCATTGTAGACTATACAGTTAGCTACAAAGTGACTGATCGTAACTTTTTTAAGTCCATGTGCAAACTTATTCTCTTGTTCATTCAATATCCATTTAATACCATACATTTCTTTTTTTTTCTTTTGGATTTTGTATATCGTGTTTATAGCAAAGGAAGAACTGTTAAGACGATTGAAACAGCAATCACATTGTCATCAAGCTAGGGAGGATGCTGAACTCTTCTCAGCTCCAAATCCGCATTCAGAGTAAGTATTTTGTTTAAAGAGTCAAAATGATATCAGAATATTGAAATATATAATCCAAAACCCTAGCTCCTACAAGGAAGTTAATTTAAGCATCAAATTTCATAAATTATGTTAATCAGTAACATTATATGGTACAGTGAAGTAGATGATTATGAGTCATAGGTATTGTATGAAGGCTAATTGGACTTCACACTAATAGAGGTAGAGTGAACTACAACCTGTGAACCGTTGTAAGTCAGAATTTAATGTCTGTACAGCTGATACCTACAACACTATCTGCTTTATACTAAAGGTATTTGATAAAATAACTCGTAAGACTTAATGATTCATATGAAATATATTATAACAGATTGGCTCATGTTAGCCAGTCTTATCACTAACTTTCTTATTCAACCATATTAGAATGACTGTTTTTAAGCACCTACATATTTATGTTGTTTAGGACTAAAATTACTGACTAGTATTTGTATGAACTCTCATATACAGGCATATTGCAGATTTCACTTGTAGCATTGCATTCAGACAGTAAAATTGCAAGTTAGCTTATATATTACGGTATGGACAGCCGGAAAATTTTAACCGCCACCGTACTTCTGTCATCAAACAGGTTATTACCCATCATTACCTGCCTTCTGCCTTGTCTTGTAAATTTTCCACATATTTCTCTGTCGACGTTTCTTGATCAGCTTCAACTTCTAGCTCTGATAATGTTTCGAGTTGACGGATTGGTATCCATGGTCTCCTAAAACTGCACTTCAAGCCGTGCATCAAGTCTTCCGTCCTTCATCAGATCGAAGAACAGACGTCGATAGTGAAGACTGTGTCAACTTGAACCATGGAAACTAAACCTGGTATCATAGTGTGTAATCATAATATGTATTCTGATTTGTGTAACTGTTATGTTCTATAGGATTCACTCTGCAAGCTGTGTAGTATCACCGTACTTCTTTGCTTTGTGTTTCGAAGTGAATAATATATTCAGTTGCATAATGACCGACATTGAATTTTCCAACGTTTGGATGGTATCACATTTTCATTGTTCAGTACTTTATCCTTCACAGTCATTTCTAGGTGTTTATTTTATTAACTTTTTACGAATGAAGTGATTATGTAACCTGTAATTTTCATATTTCACAACAGGTCGAATAGGGATAAAAGTAACAGCATTTTGCTAAGTGAAAATGCTGGTGTAGAATATGATGAACTTGCTCACGATTTCCTGGTGAGTGATTTTTACAAATGTAACCTCTACTATCTATCAAACTCACATGTAAATATTTACTATGCGCAGGACAGGTTTGATGTAAGCTACTCATACTTGTTATTCATTAGCTGGTTTTGATCGATTTTATATCAAGTTCTCAAAAATTAGGGTTTATTATCAGTGTATGAAAGCGGCATGTGAATGGTGACTTCTGTTTTAGATGCAGTTCTTTAAAAGAACACAATCTTAATTGATTTTTTTGTTTTGCCAGTTAGTTAGCATCAGTGTGGGACATCGCATTTCTGCGTAACGGTTCAAGTTACTACACTTCCATCAGTACATCAAAGTAGACAGACACACGATAGATAGAGGGGTGAAGAAGAAAGTCATGAAAAGTAGTAGGAAGTTTTAAAACGAGAACAAGAAAGTAATAGACAGATGAAGATAATGTGCGAATGGATCTGCATCACTGGTGGTCTCTACCAGGAAGTCTATGTTTCTCTGCATGGCTCAGGTAACAGTCTGCCCGCCTCCAACCTTTTCCAGGTTGAGGCGACTCCAGATCGAAACATCATGCTGAAGAAAAGAATGAAAGGACGAAGAGTTGATTAATCGACTACAGTGGGTAACATGAGATACGATGAACAGATAACCAGCTCGCCTACTAAATGCTCACAGACGATGCAAAGCACTCCCAGTCTCCATTGTTACTCCGGGATAATGGTGATAGACAGCAGACCTAGTGAGAGGCAGTTGAACAGGTGACACCTTGTCAAAATGTGCTTTGCATCGAGCAATGGTCGATTGATTGAGATTGAAATCGTTTCTGAAGCATATCACCTGGATTCTTCAATCACCGATTTTGGCTGTCTTGCGGACGCTGATCGGCATGTTTACATTTTCTGATACGGCCCCAATCAATAGTCAAAGACTTTATGGACGGATTCATCGTTTTAGTTTGGCCACCTCAAATCTTTGTCCAGCCAAAACCTACTTGAGGTAACATAGCACAACGGAGTAGATGGTGAACAGATATGCGTAACGCATGTTCCAGCCACTGAGTCGATGAAACTTCACAAAATCATCAACTGACTTGCTTCTGCCTGAAACGCTTCGCCTAACGTTTACGTTTCTGACATGGTGGTCCCACAACACATGGCTTACAAAGGCAGTGATAGTTGAATACCTGAAGCTTAAACATGTCCTCAACTTTTAGTGGTCATGTTTCACAACCACATAGAAGAATAGACCACACTGCACCTCAATGCAGCCGCTCCTTGGGGGACAGTCAGATATCATGGTGGCGCTATAGATGGTATGAGTTGGCGAAGGCCAATCAGCCCCTTTGTACCAGTGCAGAGATATCGCCGACCACTGACCCACGTGTATTGATCCGAAATCCAAAGTAAGTGAGGCGGACAGTGCGCTCAACCACTTCCCTCCGTATCAATAGACAAAATTGGTAAGTATACAGAGCAACAATTTGTATTAGAATGGTCAGAATCTCATCCCAAGCATTCTTATTCTACCACTCAAGGTATTGAGTAGACTATGTGTCTTGTCAGCATCTTCCTCTAGTAGGACCATGTTGCTTGTCTGTTGCACTTCTACTAAGAAGTCTCCTGTAACAGTGTCAATCCCTCCAGTGACAACAGAAGACGGAGACATCCATCAGCACGTCTATGGCAAAATGAAGCAGGAATGTAGCGGTAGTTAACATCCTTAATGGATACCACTTAGCTTGAACAAATTGTTGTAGGTTCTGACACCCATTGGTGTTCAGGACTCTCAACAAAGTGTCGTACTTATGTTGACACCCCTATTACTGAGAAAAACTGCCGTCAAACTTCTTAAGGGACGTTTTTGATTCCCAGCGTCTGGTTGAGGAAAGTATTTAGTATCAGGTGCCGATAAGTGTGTCCTTGTCCCAGAACCAGACGAAGAGTGAAGATCTGGCCAATATACTCACGATCAGGTTTGAAACCCATCTGTTTTTCTTGAGTTTGATGTTTCCGAGATTTACTCAGAAGTTTAATGATAATGGAACCTAATATCGTAGACAATATATTCATGAAACTGTGATTCCTCTTTGTTAATCGCAAGAGGACTTCTAACCTATTTTGAACACTTTGAAAATTGGTTATTGAGACCAGTAAGAGGTCATTATATTTTATTCCCATCTACCATCTAATACTTCAGGTAATCTATCTGACGATCTTCTGGGCAAACTCGTCGGGGCTGATTTTTTTTGTCGTTTCAGGTTATTGACAACCTCTCTGTCTTCTGTAATAGCTGCAGTGCTTATCTCAGTGTTGCATTCAGGATCCGACTTCATAACCGGCTATCTAAGAACCACTTAGAGTCAGCTGAAATGTTCCTCGAATTGTTCTGCTCAGTGTTTCTGTTTTTTCCTTCTTCGCTACAGTCCCACTAGCCATTGTCTGGTTCTGCCCCAGTTTCTTTGACCACTCCAACCGTCTGAACATATTTAGCCTTCGCCGTCCACTGCTGATCAAAATCACTGTTTATAGTCTCTGTCAGTTTGCATATCAGTAGCTTCCACTCCTCATAGTGTATGGGACCTGGAGGAATGCATTTCCCTGCATCCAGAAATGGTGCTGATAAGCACTGACGTTTTCTAACCTTTTCCTGAATATCATTTACAGTCTTCATCTGTCTCTTTAGAGGAGATTGGAGGTGGTGCCAGGCTATTTCAAAATCAGTGAGGTTATCCTGTCCAGATGATGATTGTCAAGCCCTTTTCTTGTTGACGGCAGCCTAATTAGTTTCATCTTCGAGCTGCGTTGTACTCGAAGTGGTTTTACAGCTCTAGATTTTGTAATTCCATTGAGGCGCAGATACACACCTTCTTGAACCAACACATGATGGTTGTTGAAGTATATGCTCCAGAAGGGTAAACAATCTTCCATTGACCGTCTACTACGATGGCCGAATGAAATATGCTCTATTTGTATCCACCGTTGAATCGCGATTAATGGATGCTGCGTCAGACGATGCGTTTCCCTTCATGTTTGAAGTTCATACTGGCTGGAAATAGGGGAATGACTGAACACAATTGTAGCTGGTGATCGCTGTTAACTGTTTGCTGAGCTAGGATTCCGCAACTGCCGTAATGTCTGGCTCAGCCTCCCACTTGCACATCTAAATCACCTGCCATGACAACATCTGAACTTTTTGCTTTCACTAGGAGGCTGTACAGTTTAAACTGCAACCAGTGTTTGCGTAAGAAAAGATAAGGAGAAAATGTTGATTCTCACTACTTCTTTCAGTACTCACTGCATCATTCTGTCGAACAATGCACAGGAAACTGTCACTTGAAGTCCAACCGATCAGTACACTTTTTACCTCAGGACGTAATGTCAGACCTACTTCTGCAGAGCCGCAAGAATTATGCATCGTATCTGCAATAACTTAACGAGTGAATTCAGCAGACTCACTGTTTTGGCTGATATTGGTTATGCCAGTAATTACAATACAATCATTTATGCAGTTCTCAGAAGCGAAGCACTTGTTCATCGTCTTAAATGCTGTCGCTTTCGGTCAGCGAGGCTAGTTGTTCGATTTAATGGAGGATGCGGACATATGAAACTTTTATATGTATCTTGGAGTGTGGTTTCAGGAGATCTAGGCTGCTGTTTCGTGATATCGAATCTCTGCAAAGAACTCCAGATCTGAAAAAAACCAAAGATGATCTAGAAATATTGACCGAGAGACATGAAAAAGGATTAGAAAGGGAAGGTGTGAAAAGCTGATAATGCTCTAAGGGAACCTGGCTAGTGACAGATGTGAGGAGAGGTGACACTTCCAATTCGCCTACACCGTGGACGGTTACTACTTCCTGGCAAGTTAGTTGAAGAATAATTGTATTAGTAATAGTGGTCCATGACCATGAAGTCCAAGGGACATTCAGTTGAGGTTGGTCACACATAGCCTTTTCAGAAGTTTTGGGTTTATCTTCGGTTTCTTTGAATCTAACTAAAAAACTAATCGTGGTGGCAGCACTAAAGAACCCCAGGACAGGGGGAAGTGTGCTATTTTTTGTACTGACTGTTCCCAAACCACTTTCTTCTCATATAAGAAGGACGGCAGCATCAAACAAGGACCACTGTCCATCCACTGCAAATGTCTTACTTTTGTCATATCCTATCCAGCCACCAGTACGCTGTCGCTATCAGACCACCATCACAGAGTAGTTACTTTCATTGCAACAGTAACTGCTTCCCGTCTCGTCACTATTCGACAAACCTTTCGCGGTAGGACTTCATTGGACACGTTCGCACCGGCATATCTTTTTGGGTCATTGTAACTACATGAGGGAGTCCGGCATCAGTCTTAGTCATCTGAGAATGTTTCACGTTTCCAAGTCATACACTCCTGAATGAAAAAGTAGTATGTAAGAGATTTGAAATCGATTTCACTGCTAATCACCCGTGTTGACACCTACCGTCATTTCTGCTTCTATTGCTTACTCCCCAAAAAGCTACAACTCAGCTAGCTAGTAAAGGACACAATACTTCCTTCTGATATTGTATTCCACAAACATAGAAACGGAAAGTTTTCACTTCAGAAATATAGTTACCCAAGGTTTGGTTTTTATAGTACAAGCGGTGAGTTGCATGACCTTTCAAGGGCTATCCATGAAGTTGTAATGCATTGACGAATGTTAGCACGACTTATCTTTCTTCTTGTGACAGCTCTTCATAATCTGACTATATTTGTGCTTACTCCTCTCAGTTTTCAGTGTATGATATCGCTAAAAAGACATAGAACCCACTTTTGTCGATGATATATATGTATGCGGATAGTTTAAAGGAAGACAAACCAGTACATTTTGCCGTCGTATTGTTTCAACGAAATTGGCCACTTTCGCAGAATTCGGCTCAAAATATTTGCCAGTGACTATAGTGGTTGCTACGTTTTTCTGACATGAGACACTTAGAGGTTTTTCTCACTCTATCTTAAATAACTTGCCATTTTCAGTTGGTGCATAGTTCAGAATGCATTGCAAAGTCCAGCTGCATCTTTCGGTACAGGTTCAAAGCTTCATTGGCTGCTTTACTTTCTCACCTAATATCCTATGCTTGAAATTAATGTTTCACTATGGTTTCAAAATATGTTAAGAATGTTGTATATAGTTTTGTGCATCAAAATTCAACGTACTACTGGACGGTTGACTAAGTTTTGAATAACCACTTATGTATTTACAACAGTAATATGGTTAGGCGTATAGTTTCAGGTGAGTAAGAAAGATCAGTTGGTATGATTAAGAGCCTCCATTGACTAAGGTGGTTGATACACGCTATTTTATTGTTTGCTTTAATGCATTTTTTTTATCTGTAGACTTAATACAGAATAAACCGAATGTTGGGTAGACACAGCTGAAGTAGTAAAGTGAAACGCAAATAAGTTATTATACGCATAACTTTTGGAAATCTCTTACACAGAGAGATTTAAAACCACTGCTAATCAAGAAGGCGCGTGATAAGAAAATCTGCATCATACTGATATACAGCCCTAAAGTTGAGAAGTAGTAGTCTTGTAATGAGATGATTATTCATGAACAATAACTAGATTACTATTTTCTAATTGTTGACAAATTCATTCTTCAGCCTTTCTATCTCCCTCTGTTAGGATGGTTTCAATTCTTCAAATCGAAAGTTTTCTGAAATGGATCTTAACTCAGATTCATTTTGTTCACTACCTTTACCTGCTCAATTACGTGTTGTTCAAATGGCGAGAGAAGTACTAGACTCTAGTTCATGCCGGAGTGACTTAGTTCACGAAAACAATGAAGGTAAAGTGACTGGGTATTTATCATCATTATAAGATATATAATGTATTTTAGTAAGGTACACGAAATTTAATGTTCTGTATTTTCGCTTGACTTTTTTTGCCTACTTTATCATCTGTTGACTAGTATTTGAATAAAATTTAGTGAACAGAAGATCACTTCAAGGAAAGATAGAAGAAAGTTACGAAGTGTTCTAGTTGAATCGCAATTGCTTAGGATTGATGGTGGAGCCCATGAGGAGGAATGATCAGGCACTGGGAATCAAGGGTCTAAGCATATTACTGGTACATGTCTAACCTTTTTACTTTAACAGTTTAATTGTTCAATATACTATATTTTTATAAGTACAGTTTCATTTCCAGCTTATTTTTCTGCTGGGGAAACAAGTGTAACTGTGACCCAACAATGTATCTGCTGTGTACAAAAGTCTATACGCATATTCGAGTAATATCATGTTGTCTTCAACAAAACAGATTTTTAAAGAATCGCTTTCATCATTGAAGATTTTGTGATGTTATGGCCTAATCGCCACACAGTAATACCACTTATTACACGTATAGATAAGCTCGTATCACCCGGCTACCTGTTTTTTATTGAAACAACGAACTGAATGGTTAATGAATATCAGTATTGGATCTGACGTTGTTGTGTAACCGTTTAATCTGTCACATTTCGTCACATGAAGATAGCAAATGCATAGATGAGAAATAGAGAAATGAAAAAGTAGTAAACTGTCAGAGGAAAAGAGCTTAGAACAATAACAGCACTAAGTTTTCTGCATATCATTCTTTCCACGTTAAGGAACTCTTGTTGTATGACTTCAAGAAGTTCTTTCTTATTTTGATTGCAAAGTAAATATCAGCAATACTCATCCAGACGTCGTGGCCTACCCAATATTATTCATTTAGTAATTCATACTACTGTCATCTCGTAAACTCAGACTTTTATTCTGGTTTCTTTCTTATCAAAGCAACATTTGATCCGGAAAAGTTCTCAGATGTCCAAACGAAACGTTTGCTTCTACGTCGTCGTTTAGCAGAACGTCAACAACAATTATCTGATGATTTAACTAAGCAAGAAGCTGTTCAGCAAGTTCTTCAATTAGACAACTCTATGATAAGAAGTATTCTACAAAACCGATCTTTATCTTCAAGTTTATCATGTTCTACTGTGGGGTCAACTGAAACAATAGCCACAGCAATGCGTATTCAGTCACAAGATGTGGGCCATGCCATTCTTGTTAAACAATCTCCGGTGAAACATTCGAACAAGCTAACTAGAGTACCTTCATCCACTATATTCGATTTGGAAAAGTAAGTATCTTCCTTAATTAATGAATTTGTCTGAGAATTATATATTTCCGACTTCAACTGACAAAACTGCTAAAACTTTGTGACCAGCTTAAACAATAGTCGATTTAGCATAGCAAAGTAGAATTGCATCCCTTCACCTATTGATTATTTTAAAGGTAATTGATGTATCCAACTTGTATCCTAAATCGTTCATTATCGAGTGGATGCACCTGTAAATAATTACGATCCCTTTAGTCCAAAACTTATTGGAATGTTTTTAGAGAAGTGGACAGCTCATCTTTCTCTCCTAGTACTCTGGTTTTGACACGTACGTAGGAATTTATAGATGTAGTTGAAGGTGACTTTAGACAAGTGCCTATCTACCTTCCATTGAGAAAAAGTACGAGTAGTGCTATACATGAAAATGAGTTCAGTTGGTGGAGAGATTCTACCCAGGCCAACTCTTATTCTTATGTTCATTTGTTCTGAAGTATCATCTCCATTGAAGGCTAACTGCATGAAAACTCACTCCGTCTTAACTCTAGCAGCACTCTTCTTATCTATACATAGTTTTCCATAGTTACTGATAAATTTTTTCGGAGCAGCATCTTGAATCAGGTATTTTTCAAGAAGACTCAGCTTTTCATACAGTCCCTCCTTGCAACGTTTTTTAAAATTCTATCATAGTGATCTGAATTACCCTTATTGGTAGTTTTACGGGCAAAAGTGGTTGGAATTTATATACTACTTCGTCCAAGTATCCTTGTAATAAGTGCTTCTTACGTCTGTGGCGTCATCTCTCCTTTCATTGGATGAATTCAAAAAAATGAATCTGTTGTCAGGCTCTTCTTCGAACAACTGATGGTGTAGGTTTTCAAACTCCATCTATTTATCGGTTCTACCCGGCCTCTCGACCACAACATGAAATTCAAAACCAAGGGATACTTATTCAGTTTGAAATTTTTCACATGCAACATAGGGTAGTTTGCAAATGAATCTTTTGAGATGGTTAGAGTAGTTTTCATTCGGTTTTTCCTCTGTCAATGAATTTCGGAGGATATTTGCAATTCGTGTTCAGATTTTATACTTAGGTTGGATTTTATTACACATACTTAGTTGCTGCTGTATCCGTGACCAGCCAACCAATAAACACCTGGGGATTACGATGAACTATCATGCTCCATCGGATGACCGTTCATCCTAATCTCCAGAAGGTTGTTTGTTAGTCAACTTGTCAAGGATATAGCATTCTCGATCAATTCGTCGAGTTCAGTTATTTATAACTTTATGTCGATTTTATGCACAAATTCGGTACTTATCGAAGATCTGTCCGATGTGGTTGAAGCTTGACAAACCGTAGGAACTTAAAAGATTGATGAGATAACTAATTATTCTGCAGATATTGCTCACAAAGTCTTAGCCTAATTATTCAGTGACCTGAGACTCCAAAGATTTGATTTACTCTAGAATACTTCACCGAAAATGCCCAAGAGAAATCTCCCATTATCGTTAATGGTGAATTCGCCTTTTCACAAACTTATCACGTGGTTATTCGAAAAACTGGATTCTTGATTAACTAGCTATACAAAGATTGACAAACTCTTCTGTCGGTGAAAGTTGGTTAGTCTAAATATTTGTAACATCTTTTTGGTTTCGTTTATTATATCCTCTTAGCTCACTTGTGTTCGACTTGGTAGAACATTCGGGATTATTTGTCGACAATCTAGTCGTTGATTCTTTCTAAAGAAGATATGAAGAAGTTTCTAAGACTGCACAAAAGACGTCGAATTCTACTTTGATAATAAACTCTACTGACAAATTAATGCTGTGGCCATGCGAAGTCAACTCGGATGTACCAGTATGTTCATGGCAAATTTAGAGGCAATTGGAACGAATGTTACTACTTTTTACGCTAGGTATTCGGATGATACGTTCACGATTTTATAAAGATATGAACAGCACCTCAAAAGTATTTCTTGGTTATAATACAGCGTAATACAAACTTCACAATGGTATATGTGGACATAGCAGCCGCTTCAATTTTCTAGACCTGTCCGTTGTAAGGAGAAATGATGGCACATTGTATAGTAACATTCATCGTACGTACACTAGAACTGTGCAATATTTAGATAACCAGCTAGAGAACTAATAGTGATAATGTCTAGTTATAGCATTCAACATCATTGGGTTGTGTAGAGTCGTAGACTCTTTTTTACTTTGTTATTCTGGAATATCTTGATCCACAGTGAGAAACTTTCTCTTGATATGTGTCACTGCAGACAATTCTAGTAAGCTGTTTAAAAAACATACATCATATCAGTTCATAATCTTGATTATCTAATCATATTCTTTTCTTGTTCTGATCCTAGACTAATTACATATGATCTCAAAGATTTAAACGAACCTGTTAACATTGAAGAAGGAAAGATTACTAAGAACTTATCATCTCAAGGTACTGACGATGTCATATCAGTAACTGACTATGAGTTAGCAAATAATGACTTGTATTCACTTCAGCAATCCAGAATAGAGAAAATAACTATTCAGAAAACTGTAAATGATTCAAAATACAAACCATCCAAAGAACCAAGTACTGAAGAGTTTTCAAAGGAACAGCTCCCAGTAGAATTGTCTAAGCATGAAACAGATGTGAACATTTCTGATAACTACAATAATTTGGATAAATCGGCTGTTGATGATTTTGTAGAAAATTCATACACTGTAACTCTCCCAAAAGATTCATGTATTATCGAAAGCACTAAACCATCAACGAATATTACATCGCCTGTTATAGAACATTTGTATGATTTTACAAAGGTTGACAAGAACGAAACTGACTCGGAAGCTAATGTTTCCTCAGAAATTCACAAAACTGAGAATCTGAAAGTCTCTGAAGATGATGAAAAAAATGAAGATAATTCCAGTGAGGATGATGATGATGATGATGATTTCATCGATGTTGAAGCCCAGGAACACGTTGAAGTTTTGAGTGCATCTAGTGATTCTAACATATCATATAAACATCCGCTTGATAAAAACAGCTCTCCCAGTGAATTGGAATTAAAGTCTGTTGTCTATGAAAATGAAAGTATCGATAAACAGTCTACAGAATATACTAGTGCTCAGGAATCCATTTCATCTGAAGTAGAAGATGATGACTTGACCATAGATGACGATATGTTGAGAGAAAAAGCTGATCGTTTAACGCGACAAGCTCAATCCACTACTACACGCTGTATTTCAGAAGCTCAGGTAATATCAGCTTTTTTGTAGTTAAAGATTTAGTTTACGTTATCAAGCTTTCTGCTCATCTCGTTTCTGAATGTCTTTCACTACTAACCATCCTCTAGCTGGCGACTTTTGCCTTGAAAATGTCTTACATCTCCCATCATTTGTATGATATTTCTTGAAGTTCACAGCAAAGCTGCTTTTCCAACCGATTTCTAAAGTACAATAATGCAACATAATTACTATTAATTATTTTCCACTGTAATAAAGTACGCATAAGTTAGTTCAATCAGTATACTTTCTTGGGGTATCTTATATTGAATCAGTAGTGATTAGTTTTTCAGAAGTCATATCACAACGGACTTCGATGCACCAGGCATGCTTCACAAATGCGTTTTTATTCATTCATTTTTTAAAACGTTAATTGACTAGTTATCACAGGTTGCGTAACTGAAGATGAAATTTTCTCGTTTCTTGATGCAGTTCGTGCTTCGTAAAATACCTTTATATTAAGTTGCCTATGACTATCTGATAATAATTTCATATCTAATTATGAGTCATGACTATGAGGCTTTCCGTTTTTACTGGTCTAAGATTCATCACTTTGCTTTTTCTAATGGTTAATTATCTTGTATTCTACATGCATAACGAAAAATCCCTATTAGGTCGTAGAAAAACAAAATAATATTACCCATTTGGAATGGTCAAATGACCAACTTTCAAGGCTGCATGCCTTTAAATAGATAGAATAATCTTGTGTACTCACTCCCATCAAGAAGAAGAAAAATATGTACTGATTATACACTTATTCAAGAATTGAAAACCTTTTGAGAAATACTGTGAGGGAATAGCTACCCATTCAGATTTATAGAAGATAATACGAAAATCAAAATCCCTTAGTAGGAAATTTTATGCTGTATATTATTTTCTCATTTCACTGGCTAATTCTTCAGTGCATGAAAGACAAGTTTACGTATTGGGTCTGTCTAATGTGCGCTAACAAGTTTACTTGTTCCTGCAGGGTTGAGTAAGTCGATCATACTATGCGCTTGCAAACAATACTTAGCTTGTTTGCTGAAAGGTGACGACAAGACCGTCTTCAACTATATCGTAAACTCTGGTTATCTGGTTCCTCTGAAAACCTTGTACAAAGTTCGACCAATCCGTTCAAAACGGATGAAGATTGGACACTTATGTACAGCCAAAGCTTTGACTTTAAACCTTAGTTGTGTATTCAAGAGTAATATGTACGAACACTCTCTTTACGGCTGCCTTAAATGGATTCTCTGCACATATCTTATGTTATATTTTAGTACTCTTTATTTTTCCTGGATACCAAATCTTACTTTTTCATGCATTTTTTTTCAATTTCATTAAACTTTTAAAATCATTCCTTATGTTGCGGGGTTTCATTTCATCCTTTCTCTTCATCTGTCGATTAACTTTGACATTTGATCAGGAACTTGTTTGGAATATTCTATAGTTCACTTATCAATTTACTTATGTACAGGTATGGAAATGAGTCGTCGAGATGACAATTATCTTCACTGTATCCCTTTTTGTTATGATATGCATAGTATTGGTAGCTAAGTATTCCAATACTTGTTCGTAGTTTCAACAATTAATCTATGGTTTTATAAGATAACGGTAGCCTACAAGCTTATGAATGATAATACTTAAAGAAAACATTGATCGATTCATAATCTGACCGTGATTTACATTTCATCCTTCACTTCTTGTAAAATGTACTATCTACGATTTGTTGGAAGGTTTTGCCCCACATTAACCGGGTAGTAAAATCCCACTCTTTGATCTATTAAATTGAAATGGGTATATCATGTGCTGTCATCGAAAAATCAGTATTCTCCACTGATTCAGTCTCCTTCTAGGCAAGCATAAACTACAGCTGTTATAGTTAGAAATGTAGAAAACCTCATACAGTTCCACTTTTATTTCGGAGATTTGGTTGAATAACATTTCTATGTGGAGTAGTCGGGCGTTCTCGCTAGCAGTCTCAAATTGACCACAATCACGGAGACTGACAGGTTTGTGTTCATCTGTCTTCGTCGCTGTTTCCTTTCTTTGCTCCTTCTAAATTCTCAATGCAGTCAACATGATCATCTTCACCTTGTTGTTTTTCCCATTATCCTGATGTGCTAGTACATGATATAGAATCACACCTTTACCAGGTCTTACGTTGTTGATGTCGTAACATAAGGTACAGTTGAAGGAGTGTATTCGCCTTCGAACTCGTTTTCATTCCGTCTATACAAAATCTAGTCGTCATTTTTTTAAAATTCATCAAGGATCACTGCGCTGGCTACATAGGGTTGAGTGCAATATATTCATGATGTTGTATTGATCTTGGTGACTGGTAGAGGAATCGAGGACTCATATTTCAACCTATTTGGGGCTCATCAGCTGCATGTACCTGTACCCCACAGTGAGTGATATTCCCACTGAGGTTCGAACCCAGTACCCGCTAGACCAAACGCCACAGCGTGACCCACTAAGCCACTGGGGAGCGTTAGCCACCTCTTGCGCAATGGGTGTATCAGTTGTTGTAATGATACTTAAAATTTCCCGTTGCTATACAGGGCCGAATTGCTCGACTTATGTTGGCAGATGGGCTCCTAGGACGAAATACGCGTCTTGGATTCCTCTGCTAGTCAGCAAGATCAATATAACATTTGGGTCCTGTTTAGTTATCTCGGAAAATATATTTGTTCTTCAACTTACTAATATTCTTGTTTCTGAAATCAGTTATTCGTAGTATGCTGCAACCGTCTTGAACTACTATTTTATGGAACTGTTTCATAAGGATCTAGTGGAAAATTGGTAGCTGGTGGTCAGAAGGGATGATGAAACATAACTTGTTGAAAAAGATAATTATTTATGGTCTAATGATTGAAACCTAACTAAGGTGGTCTTATTGTTCTTATTCTAGAAGGTTAATACTTTTTGTAGTACATAAAAAACCAGATCACTGCTGATATTCTTTTCAAATTGACTGTATAATCACAAAACTCAAGGTACACAAATTGAAGTCTGTCATACCTTCTAACTAAAGCCCAGTGAAAACAATAGGTTATCTAATGACTGACACATCCTAAGCCATTCCTTTATCTAAAGCCTGAAAAATTTGATTACTCATGATAACCACCTTACGGATAAACAGTACGATGTTCATCTTTAACCTTAATTTTAATCCGCTTATCCATAACTTCAGTTGAACTGCTCTTTAACCGATGCTATTTGTTTGGCATTCCAGTTAGTATAGCTTAATTTGTTTACGACGACTCAATTTAAAGGCCAGAGTAGCGGTAGCCCCATACAGAGCATTGACATTGTACTGTTTATGGTAATTCATAACGAGGTTTACGATGATCAGGAAATAAGTAGTCTTTCAACTCCACCTATATCAACAAGTTGAAAGTATTTTAAGGAATTCTTTTCTCAGCTTTGAGTAGTCGTAAAATAGATACTGTGATTGATAATGTTTACTTTCTGAATTATTGAATCGAAATGATCTACCATTGGCAAGTCAGATCCTTTTGTGGTCGTCTCAATGTTAAATACAATTGAAGTTTAGGTACGTGTTTCGTTGTATTTTTGTTTCATCAGACTCATCCTAGCTGTTGGAGAAGCTCAGTAACCTAATAGATATTATATTGAATTTCAGTTGACGAATTCTCAGCTTTAATTTCTCTGCAAGTTATAAGACATTCCCACGCATATACAACTAGTTGAAGTGTATCTAATTAAAAGAAAACATACATCCTGGATTTTGTAATCATATCACTATGTGGATTTTCATCAAATAATTATGGCGTGAACTCCCCAGGCGGTGTAGAAATTCAAAAACAATGTATCGAATGAATGTATTGTATGCTAAGGATCTTTCATTTTTCAATCTTCAACCAAACGTTTGTTAGATAATCATGGTATGTTAGTTTTTTCAGAAAATGAAGTTGTAAAAATTCAACCGACTAAATACACCCACTGAAGCTTAATAATTCTTAAAAACCATTCACTGTATTTGTTCAAAAAGTGGACACGTGTTTTGCTACGTTATGAAAGCGTGTCGTTGTGAAGCAATAAAAAAGTTCCGTTCAGGATTTACCAACTTACTCTAATTATTTCACCTCCGTATCAAAGGACAAGAATACTGGGTTGGAATCTGCTCCTTCCTGTTGTACGACTGTGAGACATAGTCGTTGAAAGATGTGAAGACGTTACATGATTTTGGTGATCGTTATCTTCGTAGCTTTGGTCACCTTTAGTAAAATCACCTTGTGAGCAATATTGCTGTTAGTTACAGAGTACTAGGGAATGAGAGCAAGTCAGCTGATGAGTTTATGAACTCTCAAAACTGAGATCTGGATATATGTTCCTTATACTGAAATCCACTTGTCTTCTTCGCTGAATTATCTCTTCCTTTCCCCATTAAAATTGTTTATGCCATAAGAGTATGTTAATCGAATTAAAAATTTATTTCCTCATCAACATAGGATCTACTTCGTCTGTTCGGATTTCCGTTTGTAGTCAGTCCAGAAGAAGCAGAAGCACAATGTGTGGCTTTACAACGTTATGGTCTGGTTGATGTTGTTGCTAGTGACGATTCCGACGTATGGCCGTTCGGTGGCAGACTCATTTGTCGTCATCTTTTTGGTACTGGTGATGATAAGAAAAGAAAGACAGGTCCTTCCTTATATAAGCTAGATGAAGTAAAACAGAAGTTGGGTAAGTTAGCTATTTAAAAATGTATTCATGGACTAAAATTTCTGAATGAAATTCAGCTGAAAACAAGGCTGGTGTAAAGTGTCCTGCATTAATAGTCGGTTAAATCCATCTTTTACGAAGTGGAGAATTTGTCCTCACCCATATCCATTGTTATATTCTATCTCAGTTTGTTTGAGCAGAAGACATATGAAAAATATGCGTTTTATACATCCTCCGGCAACCGTACTTCATGAGCGACAAGAAGTTGAATTTACATCGTCAAGTTGCAGAGCCCAATCATGAAAGAAAGAAGTTACTCAATGTTGTTGTTTGTATTATCCGGTCATTGAGTGAACCGAATTGATCAGTCTGTATTGGCATATGGGCTTCTGTGCAGATGCCTCGATATTCCCTGTGTTTGAACGATATATTAATGATAGATAGTAGTTGGCAGTCGGATCCAGGACGCGCGTTTCGTCTTATTTGGACTCATCAGGTGGATATGCCTGCCTCCCAGTGAGCTGTTGTTCCCACTAAGACTCGAACTCGGGACCGATCACTTCAAACCCCAGATCGTTATCCACTACACTCCCGATTTATGATAGCCACTTCCATCTCAACATCTGCACACACCTGTTTCTGATGTTATTATGATGATATCTTGATTGTTCACATTTATCGTAAAACATTTGTTAGTGAACTAATGAATTAGTGCAATACTTTGATCCATTTTCTTCAAGGTCACTCTTATACAGTCCAACATAGCTTACCTAAGCAGTCTCCTGTTTAGTAACCATTTATTCAGAAACAAGTCGTCTGGGCATCCTACTCACCGCCTCCCTTGAAAAAGTTTAAAAGATAATCGTCATATTTCTTCTACACTATAGTTTATGTGGTGAATAGTGAGTGCTAAGCTACTATCAGAAGCTCTGCTAATAAAAACTCAGACTCGGTGAGCAAGAAAATTATTAGAACATTTGAAACTTGTAAATATTTGCCATATAGTTGTTATTAGTTGTTGCAATAATAGATAGTGACCTCTATTCCCTATCATTCACTTATTCAGAATACTATTGCTCCTACTATAAAACGTCTTGCACAACACTGATATCCACGAATAAAGCAACATTTTCCTTCTTCGAAATACATAGGTCTTACTGTGGAAAATATTCTGCGTTTGACTCTGCTCTGTGGGAGTGATTATACACGTGGGATCGATCAAGTTGGTCCGGTTACAGCAATTGAAATAATTAGTGAGTTTGGTGAAGCTGATAATTCACTGAGTTCTGATATCGATAATTGGCTTCATGGCATTTGTGAACCTTCAGAAGAATTACTTCAAAATATTCTCAAGCCACTGGAACAATTCACGTAAGATTCTTCTTGTATACATGTGATTACTCTTTTACGACTCTGATTTACAATCTTTCAGCTAATAACTGAACACTTATGTGGTTCACTCATTAAATCTTCTGGGATAGTTTATATTGGAAAGAGGTTTCATTGAAATTCTACCATAAAGAAAATGCTGAATAACGACTAATAATATAGTAGTTAAACCTTGGGCACTGGTAAAGTTACATTTCATTTTAGTCTAACTATATGGAAACATTATTTACTACATAGCAATTTATGGTCCTTAATCGTAACAGGATTTGTATATGATGCATCCTATGAACAAGTTGATGGAGAAAATTCTGTCTATGAAGAGTGAATATTGTTATTTTAGAAATGTGCTTAAAGTAGAAACACATAGATGAGTTCGAACTGCCCACGTAACTTCTGGCTTCAGACAAGGGTATATTTCTTTAGTACTAAAACTAATTTGCGTACCGATAAATGCATAATTAGTAAAAAAAAAAACAATATATAACATGCAATACATACAGAGTGCCTTTTCTCCATTTACCAAAACGTGAGAGTGGCTTCTAAACACGCTGAAGGTTATGTGTAGAACTTTAAAACTAAGCTTCTTTCCTAAATCTTTTAAAAATCATGAACTTTGATGGTAAACAATATCTTTACAGTGAAATTTTCAGACTTCTGTATTGTGAGCTCTCAATATTATTTTCACATAGGAATTGGTGGCAAACTACTCGTTCACAGGAATCGCCTGAGTCGAAGAAAACACTTAAAATAGCTGAATCCAGTCCAGTTAGACGTCGTTGGATTAATTTGAAACCATTACCTGGTAAGTGCATAATTTGTAGTTTTAATTACCCTTTTGTTATCGTTAATAATATCATGATTCGTTTTCAAAAAACATTAGTCTAAGCAGAACAGTTCAAAGTATTTACATAAGGCAGCTACGTCTCAGCTGTCCACTACATAGCTCCAGCCTAGGATAAAAATATTCCAAATATTACTGAAATCAAGAACTTTGTTCGCTGAATAACCCGTCATAGACTTGGACAATGTAATCTTTTTGGGTGTTAATGCTATGAAGAAAACGTTTTCTCAGCTTCTTAAAATGAGGTTTTAGAATGGTTGGTATGTGTTCCACGTTATCAAGGCTCATAAGGTGATTTTGTACTAACAGTCAGTTTAATTGTGGGAAAAGAAGTGGTTGAACTCATAGATCAGTTTACTTGAGAGTTTTCAGTCTACAACACTAATTTTGTTATAAATATTAGCAATAAATTCTGTTTGAAGTGTTATCCAGTAAATGATACTGTCTCACCATGTGAAATATCAAATAAAGTCTAGTATGGAATTAATTTTTGGAATTATGTGCAAAAATGGACTAAATTCCTTCTCAGATAATTAATTTGGAAGTCAATAAGCCTGTAGGAGTTTCTTGGACGAAGACATGAGTCTGTGGAAAACGGTGATAAGCTTTATTTTCTTGACTCATGCGTAAACCAACAGAACTTTTAAAAAAAGCCTGAAATTAGAATATTGAACCAACCGCTGCACCTTGATGGGGGTGGTCAGCTTTATATATTCGATCGGATGTCTTGTCGACATCATAGATGTAAGGTTACAAGTCCCAACCAGTCCTTCTATTCCCTTGCAGAGATGTCATTAGTTACTGACTAGCCAGTGCTGATCTGACTTCTAAGTAAGTAAAGTGTTCAAAGCTCTCAGCCAAGGTTACCTGAGGACTACATCTTTACATAACACGACTACGTCACCTGATTACTCATCACTCCTTCCGGCAGAAAATATTACCGTCAGACCTCTCGGTCGATCGCGTACAATGTTGCCTTCAGGGAAAGGTATACATTTATTGTCGGACGCCAGTCAGTGTGCCTTTGGGTCAGAACCTGACGGCGGTTGACGATATGATCAATCCACCCACGACCAAATTTTAAAAAGTATTTGGTTTTCTCCAGTTTGCTATTTCTGAGCTTAACTTAGACGTTTAGTAGTTATTGAAATTAGGATCTTGAACGCTTTATTTGTTAGATTGATTCCGCTTTGGTTATCACAGGAGGATTTCTTTCCGTTTTTGAAGACTGGGACAACCAGTGGATGAGACCAGTCAGGGGGCAAAATATCCGGTTCCCATCCACTATCTGACACTTTACTATACTTGACCAGTAGTCCACTTCTACCCTCTTTTAACACCTGTGGTGTTTCACGTTTGATGACTGGTTTACTTTGTCGTTTCAGGTTATCGGCAGCCTTCTATGATTGCACATGAGCTATTGGGCTTATCTCAAAGTTTTATTCAGTATACGACCGGATAGGGGCAGAAGAATATCAGGTGAAGACCAGTTGACTTGTCCCCCCCCCCATCGCTGCAGTCCTCTCTGTTGCAAATGCATCGCAGACCTATCCTTCCCCGCAATATTTTCACTAACCATTTCCTTGATCAGTCTAAATAACTGTCCACTGTTATCTGTCACCAGGTTGTTTCCCACCACTGTTTGGTATCATTGCATAGACTTTTTGTCAGTCTACATTTAAGTTGCTTCCGCTTCTCATTCTGCATGGAGCCTGGAGAACTGCGTTTGCGTGCGTCGGTCAACTTTAAGGAGCTACTGAAGTACATTGACTCCCTCTGACCTTTTTCCGAGGGCAATCTTCCATGGACCATTTCAAACGATAACTGATGACAATATTGTTTACTGTTGAGTTGAGGGATACCGCGTCATACAATGTCTCCGCATGCCTTAAGTCTGTGCCAGTCAAAAACAGGTGGTGCTCTGAGCACAGTTGTAGTAGGCGATAGTACTTATCCGTTTGTTCAGATGAGATTCCGTGAGTGTCTTGCTACAAAACTTAGCGTACGCACTTGTGCGTTTAAATCACATGCTCTAACAAATGTTTATGAGCTTTTGACTTTCAGCGGGAGGCTAGACAATTTCAGTTGAAACTCATTCGAACTGAATTCAGTGTTTGCATGAGGAAAGATTACAAAGATATGACGGCGAATTTCCCTTCTCTTTTAAATAGTCACTAAGTCATTCTGTCGAATAGCACACAGGCAACTCTCATCTGGAGTTCAGTTGATCAGTACACTTTCTGCTGTTGAACTTAAATTTTATCCCTGTGCCAGCAACTGTGATGCTGCTAGTCTTTGAATCTGCAGAAACTTGAAGAGTAATTTTCTTCAGGTTCATTTTAACCGAATGAAGTTGAGTGAATTAACCACACTTTGGTCCTGTATGTGTATCTCAGAAATACAGCGCCAGTTCTTGACCTTAAATGTTGGAGTTTTGGTCAGTGAATCTCGTTATCTAATTTGGTGTAGTGTGCGAATATTACAAGCTTCAATATAACTTTTGATTATATCACTTCCATTTCTTAGTCGTTTCTCTTGCAGTCGTATACGTTGTGCTGATGTAATTGTTGCGCAATATTGGTCAGTTGAGTGTTAATGCTGACTAGAGAGACATATACATACTTTTGTACTAACTCGCTTATATATCGCGCATCATAAGCTTTTTTCAACTTTTACATATATATATATATATATATATATATATATATATATCTGTTATTTTCTGTTTTTAGGATTCCCAGATAGTCGTATTGCTCGTGCTTATTTGTACCCGAATGTAAAAGTCGATATTCCACCGTTCAAATGGGAAGCACCCAGTGTACCACTACTTATCCAATATCCTTTTTATAAAGAAATCATTTTACAGTCAATAAACATAGCCATCCACTTGTCATATTATATTCAGGAATAGTGAATTTTTGTCCTAAGTATATTAAAGCATCGCATCTTACAAGAAAAGTTGCATTCTAGCTTGTCACTGCTGTCATACTCTTTTTGATGTTTTATTCTGGTTTCCAAACATTTTTCCCATCACATAAGGTAGATTCTCTTTCTGGCGATGCACAGAAGCTGATGTAACACAGTTGCCTTCATCTCTTGACCGCCTGTATCCGACAGGTCCTTTTAGATTAACTAATAACTTATTAAGAAGTCGAAGGGTTGAGGAAATGTGTATTTTCGTAAAGGTTTTAGTCTCTATGTGCAGCTAAACCTTTTTTGACTTATGACGTATACACCTACCAGTTAAGGGAGTAACTAACTGATTTTTCAGTTGAAATTGTGTAACAATTTATTTCGCATGATTTTAGATAATCGGTAAATAATGAGGATAACGTTCTTTGTGGCTACATTAAAATTAGCTTATATATATGTAACCACCTTCCTGGACAGCCAGATAAAATAAGCATTTTCACAGTTTACATACACTTCGATATCTCTTATTCAACTTCATTTGAAAGATACTGTTCACCGAGTTTAACTCAGATCTACTTTTATGATAATTCATTAGATTTTCAACCCTGTCACAGAAATAGAACCTGATGCTTTATGCTGTGCACTGTAAGATTGAAAAGATTTTTTACAGAAGCTTCAAATCCCTGAAGCCTTTTACTACCAATCATTATGCTTCAGAGATTCGGGAAAAGACACATGATCGTTTGTATAAATATCAGAGTGATTGAATAGGCCCAATAAATGGAGAAATTTGACCTAAAAAGGCATAAAATAGACAGTCATCTTGAAAATGTATCAGTAGTTGTACTTGTGAATAGTTTGACTTCGCAGTGCACCTTTGCTAACCTATCACCTATTCTATTTTCGAATAAACTGAGAGCCACCAACCGTCGGATCTCAAGGCTATTCCTCAAGTGTCTATAGGGATTAAGAAATTGATGTCGAAATCCGTTCTGAACAAAGAAGGTGAAATGTCAACGGACGTACCTCCGTATACACTAAAAGTCCATTTCGATACAATTTCATGTCATGGCTTTAATATTAGTTTAATTAGTCACCATGGTAAGGCTAGCTCTAGAATGACCTTAACTAAATCAAAGGAACGTCAGCTGAGGGAAAGACAAGAGTTATAATTCCGTGAGTTTCCAGATCGACAAATGAAAGAAATGCTATGTTTGCAAAGGGAATTAGGCTTGTTAAATCTGAAAGAGAATCCGAGTTAAACTTCCTCCTCGGATCATGATGTAAAATCGGCTCGTAGAGATATTGATTTTAAAAACTAGTGTTTTCCAAAAAGGATTAATCAATTGGATACCGCAAGCAACAGAAAGACAGTTGGTGTCAGCCTTGAGCTGCTGAAAGTACCTATACACTTTCGATGAACAACCAGCAAAATACTGGAAATTTATTAGACAATTTAATCTTTATGTTTTCTCTAAGGTCAAAAATGGTGAACAACGCGTTATACTTGCTACACTACTGTACGGGTAAAGCCAAAGAGGCTATGGAAGAATGTATTATGCTTACACCATCTCAGGGCACGCGATATACTAAAGTGCTTGTTTGGAAGGATGCATGAAGTGTACCGGGCCTTATTGCCAGAGTTGATCGAATGTTCTAGCATAATCATCCTGAGGCGATGTCAAGGCTAACTAAAAAATGGAATATTGCTCTATAGCCTTAGAATAAACGTAGTAGTCCGCGGAGCTTTTTTAAGCATAGTGAAAAAATTTCCCCTTATGTTGCAGATGAAATGGGCAGAAACAGTCGAAGTCCTAAGAGAGAATGGCTGGGAATCTACATTTGCAGAGTTGACGCAGTTTGTGTCAGCTCATACGAGTATATTGCTAAGTAGGTTTGGACGTTTAGCAACCAAGTAGTGGTGTGTTCCACACATTAGTTGGTGTCTGCTGGAGTAGATGTGAGACCCTCATGTACAATTTGCGAAAGCCACATAGCCACGAAATGTCCCATATTCCCGGTGACTAATTAAACTAATATTAAAGCCAGTGACATGAAATTGCATTGCCGTGTATCCGGAGGTACGTCCGTTGACATTTCACCTTCTTTGTCAAGAACGGATTCCGAGACCAACACCTTAGTACGTTTTCCAGGCACAATAACGTATAAGTATGTGAAATACAGGTTTTGTCAGGACTATATTCACGTTTTCACTAAGCTGGGAAGCACTCAGCTTATCTCTAGTGTGCCTTAGATGTACCTGTATTTTGTGAATCTCTTCTTCGTTTGTTTTTGTTATTTTCCAACTTTCGTTCGCACTTCTGTTTTGTAACGTTTTAAGTCGCATAATTAGTTCCTGCTATATTTTAAGAGTTGGGATTGTTGATTTTCGAAATTCTGCAAAGGAAATTGTTACGCAACTTGAACTTTAGAAATGCCTAACTCTTGATGTGATTAACTTTTTATCTATGTATCTGCTCGACATCTTTGAACTGTAGAACTTTGTAGTTGAAAGTAGAACCTGATAAAAATAACGAACATGCGTATTTTAGCACTTTTTCACCTTCGCAATTATGCGATACATAAATTCTCTATTGTAAGTAATAACGTGTAGCATTGTAATATCGGTGACGAAAGGTCACTAGATATTTCCCATCATGTTATTATAATCACATTCAAATGAGGCAGTAGAACACTGGGACACTTTGGAGCAATCTATGAGACTATTTCTAGATATATATTTAAGATCGAATGGGAACAAATTCATCTGTACTTGGAAAGCCGTTAGAGAAGAGACTTAGTGTCGAGAATTGTGATACAGAACTATTTATATCGATGAATTTGTAAGTATATCTATATCCTTCGAAAAGTGTGACAAGTTGAAATGCTGGTAATTGATAGAAAACTTAACCCAGCAAAACTAATGCGGATCTGATTGAATACTTGTAAGTACATATATCTCAAAATGTATTAATTGCATTAGCTGTAGGTCTACGTTTCCTGTATAAATGTGAATATCTTTTTTTTATGTATAATGTTATTTTCTCCTTAATCTTTTGTTCACACATGTAAATAATTCATTGGGATGGAGTCGAGATAAAACGGAAGCTTTGTTGACTTCCGTACTTAAACATAGACAAACTGTTGAACTTGGAAGCCCTGAAGGAATGCTTTCTTCCAATTCACTCATAACCAATTTCTTCCCTATCAAAGATAGAATCAGTAAAGCATCAGAAGTCAGTAATCATCATATAGATTCATCAGAGTTAGATGAAGTAAGTGGCAATTAATCGATCTACGATAACAAAAAATAGGCTTGGGTGTTTTAAAGTGGTTTACAAATTGACATTTCTCACAGCTGAGTAATTTTTCAACTATGGAGTCAACAAGGTCCCCAATGGAAACCACTCAGTCCGATTGGTTTCTGACTTATCAAGGTGTTTAGTACAAGTATCTTTCACAACTGGGCGTTGTTTCATCGTTTTTCACAGTGTAATAATCATTAATAGATTCCTCTTGATAAAAGAGAACTATACGTGTTTGGTGTTCTCCAAGCTTTGAGGTTTGTTTTTGAAGAAGTATATGCTTATGCGATCGCCTAGCCTAATGATGAAACATCCAAGAATAAAGCTTGAAGAACACCAGACAATTATCATCGTCATCTTGAGCTACGAATTTTCTATAGTATCTCAAAAACGGAATTGTTCATTTTGTGTGTCATTCACGCCTCCTGAAACAAAATAATAGATTAGAAACGCAAATATTAACTTTTTAAAATATCTAACATTTCAGGTTTCGATGCCAAGTAAACGTGTTCGCCATGCAGCCAATCGGTTAAGAACTCGAAAGATAGATGAAAGTTCTTTTAAACCCCCCATTATATCAACAAGTGTGGCGGAAACAGATAATTTGCTTTCTGAATTGCCTAAACCTGGTAAGTCTGGAAGACGGCGAAATATGAAGTGTCTTACAAGTGAAACAAACGAAAAATCAGCTCAAGTAAAAAATCTATCAAAGAAGAAATCCTTAAAAAAGTCCCAAGTAAAGTCCAAACGTCGAGTAATGGAAAAAGTAAGCTTATCTGAAGAGGACGACTAACTAGTGTTAAAAAAATTGAACTAATTGTACATAGCATACTTCCAAACTTTTTTGGATACAATTATTTCGCACTCTTAGTCTTCTTTTAAGACAATTTATCACAATTACTCACCTAAGTGGTTGTCAAGTATAGTATATAAAACGCTTCTTCTGAAACTTATGTTTTATAAAAAGTAAGATAAGAAACAGAGAAACTAAATAATCATGTATATTAGCGTGTTTTGCAATATATATATATATATATATATATATATGACGTGGATGTTTATAATTAGTGTTGAAAGTCTATACAGAATTCAATTGCAGGCAAACACGACAGTATAATACTATACACCCATTGGTCACTAGATGGTCTGATATCATGATGACTGAAGTCTTTTGGATCTTTGGTTATTTAGGAAATTAAAGACAATTTTAGAATTGGGAAATAAGGTATTCATTTATTTACATATAAAGTATGCATTATACGCATAAAATTGTGTAAGACGGAATCTCAATAGATGGCAACAAAATGCCGACAGATTGGGTTTAGAAATAGTTGAGTACCACAATCACAGGTTAACTTGTATCTAGGTTGTTTATTTGCACTAGGACCTTCATATATATCACGTATTCTTGCGATTAATCCAAATGATTCCACTTTGTTTAGTCATAGTTTATTAACGTACAGAACAAGGCGACCTGTATGGGGTTCTACATATATAACTGTAAAATATGGCTTCAAAATACTCGGAGTTTCTCCAGTTTGTGAAACTGGCGCAGTTAACAATGATTCACATAGTGCTGGACGCCCAACTAGATGTGGGTCTAATAAGTCATAAAGTTCAGGTTTACTGCATCCCCCTCTAGGTGGACATATATGTGCTTCTACTATCATAAAATCAGTCTGAAAAAAAAATAAAGAAAAAGGCAGTTTTCATTCAGTTGATAAGAAAGTTAGTTAAGGATAAAACTATATTGCGCTGTGAACAGCATACGTTGTTAATCATCAACAAACCACAAACCCCCAAATTCAATTGAACTAGTGTTCATTGGTGACAAGCTTCGAGAGGTTATTCCCGAAGTTCCAAGGAGAAGTTGTGACCAGTGGGGCAAACTTGATGGCCATGAGGACATATACTCAACGATGACTTTGGGTGACGGTCCCGCTAAGTCGTGAACTGACGGAAGTTGAAAATATGGATCATTGGATTCCGACTCAATGGTAACATGCTGCCCACGGAACCTGAAGGTCCTGGGTTCGATCCCCAGCGGGGGCGTGGGTACGCAGTACTGAAGAGCCCCATACTAGAACGAAACCCTGTCCAGTACCCCCAGGTCTCCAATGTTCCTCCAACTGATATCAGTCCATGATGAATACCAACTTGAAAAATCAGATGAAGTGAAATCATCAAAAAATAAACACTGACTTAAACTGACAGTATCTGAAGTAGCCTTTATTTAGCGAACTCAGTGGGAAAGTGATAACTTCCACGCGGTGGATGACCAAAATAATGATAATGTAATATAATAATGACTCAAAAACCTAATATAATCCTTTGTACTACACTATGAGTTGAACTTCATGTCTGGGTATTCATTATACCACCCGGGACCCACTACTTCAGAATCAAGTACTCAAGCCAACAGATTACACTTTAACCTAAAGTGACTTAGGCCTGATGAAGCAATGTGGTAATTTTACTGTTTAAAATGTTAATTTACTTTTTGAAGCGAAAGATGTCTTCTAATCCCTGAGAAATGCTTATTTGCCAAGATGATTTCCCTTTTATTCATCAATTATGTGAACTCATTGTAGGTTTTCTTCACATATATAGCAAGATGAGTCAATACATACCTCGTGCCAAACTAACTACAGTTACTGAGACTATAAGTCACATTCTAACATCGAATCATAAAATCGAAATGTGCTCGACAACCGTGCGCACGTTTGTCCAGCAGACAATGAGCCAAACCTGTTATGTGAAGGCTAATGATTCTACCTGATTGGCCAAACCTCTGTAGATGGAGTAGTGTTCAAACTCGTGTTCAATTGGTTGAAAGTCGACTGCCCAAACCCATGAGTCACACCTTCGCTCTAAAACATAATAAGTCTAAAACTACACCCTACATTATATGTACAGTCATCGTAAACTGACTATTTAGAATTAAAGGTTAACTCAGTCATGCACTAAGATACATCATATCTTTTCAACAACGCCATAGTTAAGTCTGGTTTTCATTGTAAAGGATTCCATAGGAATCTAAAGCAGCACGTTTATCAATCGAATGAAATGATAGCCATCAATAAAATCTTTTATGAAAATAACTGACTAACAGCAGGACTGCTGAAAAGCGATGATACAACGATACGAAGTTTTCGTTCTAGAAAAAGATCCACTGAAAATGTCAGAGTGGGAAGTACTCACCTTTAAGGAGTAACGGTAAATGTGCCATACATCATGTACAGGTTTACGACTGTAAATTGCATAAGCCAAAACAGTTCGGAGACGAAGATTTGTGTTCTCATAATGTGGGTGATTTGTAAAGACGAATCCAGATCGATTGAAGAATGTGACTTGTGTAGACGGATAAGGAGCAGAAGCTGGTAATGTTAGACGCAGGTTGCCCAACAAAGACATTGAGCCAGATATTACCCATGAAGTGGAGTTTTCATATTTTTGTGGTAAACTTCGGAACCAACCAATTAATACTTCATTTTCATAAGCACTGAATGAGCCCTGTATGTTCCATTCAGACTAGCCAAATCAAAACAACAAATGAACTAATCTAACTAAATACTTTACCCAAGAAACTTGCAAATCTTGAGAAACATCTCATCAAAAATCAAGGAAACTAGATCTTTGATAGGTATCAAAATGTAAGCACCAACATATATGCAGATTAAAAGTCTCCCATGATGTAGAAACGATATTCTTTATATGTAAATAAAATTGAGGCTACTGATAGGCTAAATCAGTAGTATAAACTATATTCGCCATCTTTGGATAGATTGGAAATTGACTCACACCTACCTGTCCAGCTAAGACAACAGAGTGCTTAAAATTGTGAGCAAATAAATCAGTAGACAGATTCTTGAATTTGATGAAACATCAAGTCAGTTATGCAAACATCAGATTGATTTAAGTCCAAGCATTCCCAGATTTTGAAGTTTTAAAACAACTAAGATGAGAGGCACGATTGTTCAGAGTTTCAATAAAATCATATAACCTGCCAGTTAGTGAATATCAGAAATAATTTATTCACTAATCACGGAGTTCATTATGAACTAAAGACCTACTCCTTCATCACATGGGTTCTGATATTCCAAATTAACATTCATGGAAATGTGTGAAGTTGGTGTCCTACTCAAACTGTATTTGAAAGACATACTGAAGCAAATTCAACTTATAAACAGATCAGAAGAATAGTAGCCGAATGCGAACTAGCCATTTTTCAGGTGTACAGCTAGGAGAGTTCGACATAAAGAGGACTTCTCGATGTGGTGATTTATATATTTTGGGCCAGCAGTATAGTTTAAATGTTATAGTATACCGATATCTCTGACTGTTTCACGCTTAATCTACGAGATGAAAAATTGTCTCAACTTACTCAGTTATTCTGTTGAGTCCCTCTCAGTCTTTTCTGTCGGATCGCTCCTAGTCAGTAATTTCTGACCTCTTCCATCCAAACCAAAGTCGGCACATCTACAATCTTTCGGGTGCTGCTGTTGATATAATACATCTAGGAGAAGTGTCTCTGAACATTAAATCCTGTGATAGTCATGTAGGATTTAATAAAATAGATATACAAGTTCACTTCAAAACATCGTCAAGTGTGGTGATAGAACTCTCGACAACTCCGATGGGCGTGAATAGGAGGGCAGAGTGCGAATGACATATTAGCAAAATCGTATAGGGCAGTCTTTCATCGACTCCACAGGAATAAGGATTCAATAGTAATAAGGACTAGTAAATGTTTAAGAACAGTTACCACGAATACAATGAATTGCTGAAACAAGATGAATTTCACAAGTTACCAATTATTAATGGTCTGACAGAGGAAACTGAGAGGCAACGGAAGGAATCCTCGAAAAAGTTTAACCAAAAGGATTTCACCTCGAAACACTGAAACCTGTCAGTATGTTGTGATACTCAGAATATACATTTTGTTAAAAGTAAGTAGAAATAATTTTTACGTCAAATCAAAATACTCGGATTTAAGGTAATTCACTTGATCATTATAATCGAATGCCTAGAAAGTCATGAGATGGATATTGACGATCAAATCTATCAAGGATGGCAAATAAACCACATTCGCTTATCTCTGAAAGTGTTTGAATGAAACTTAGTCATTAAAACATTAAAGACAAGCCAGTAGGATTCATTGAATTATTTTTTTTAAACATGTAACTAACCTTGATATTTTCAAACCACGTCCACCCATAAATGCTATAAACATTACTAGTACTGTATAGATGACGTATACTAGTCCCGACTGACCATTTACTTTGTTATCAGATTTACGGAAGTTATTTGAAGGCTGTTCACGGAAAATACGACCAAAAAAACTTCTTAATGTGTGAAATATTTCAAACCATCGGGTAGACTGAGCCAATATAGCAAGTGAAAGGCACATTTGTGGCGTCCAGAATAATTTCAATCGCATTATTAAAACAGCCATAACTGTGAAAGCGAGCATCTAGAGTAAAATGAACGTATGTAAGTTTAAATCGAATAATTTCTAGGACTCAGATATAGATTACTAGGTTAAGGATTCAAAAACTGCTCTACTTTGATAGTAATGAATGGATTGTGGTTAGCAGCGAATCAAGAAAGTGTATTCCGTCTTATTCGAAACTCCTGATGAGTGATATTCTGACAAGCTATATATAGCATATCTGCTCTACGTTAATATGATTCCATCAATCAGGTAGGTTTGCTAACCTCAGTCTATGTGGTTTATAATCTAGTATAAAAATCTAAATTCGGTTATTGAATCTCATTTGTTGAAGCGTAGTATGAAGAATAGCACCGAGGTAATCAGATATTTTAGAGAGATCAGAAATTTGGGCTACCATATATACAGAAGAGCATCTCTTAACTTTACGTCGAGTTTCGTTTGTTTTTCGAAGGAGATTTTGGAAACGGAAGACCGGAACAACCTTCGAAATTCAACAGTTGTGTCTAACTTCGTTTTGTTCGTCTTCACTATAAAAAAGCACCTTGCAAAAATTTTATTTGAAACTAAATGTTACCAGTTCACCTATGTAGCTGGTTAGTTTTGAGGTGGTTTGAACAATTCAGCTACAAGAAATGGGATAATTCAGTCATACTGTCGATGAGTTGGGTACAAAGCGGTAGAAGTAGCTGTTCACCGTTTAGACGATCTCCATCCGACTAGCGAGTTATACTGATTGGTTAGGATGGTTTCGAACTACAAACGGCAATCAGTAGTGCATGTCCCGTAGTTCTCCTCTTCTCTTTCTCACTACTACTTTCTAGACAAAATAGACCGAAATTTATGATCTACACATTCTGTTTTCAAAAAGTAAGCGACGGTAAAATTTCACAATTGTGTTACAGTTAGTTGTACCATTCCGTAACACAAGTTGAGAACTTTGTTGAAATCTGTTTAAGCCTCAAAAATTTTATAATTCTACCCCTGATGGGAATATTGAGTCCAGCTGTTTAACGATCATAGGAAACTGTTAAAGGGGATAAAATTGTAATTGATTGAGTCGTTATGAAATATGGCTATTATTGACAGATAATCAGCGGTAACAGCATGTTTTAACCACTGTTGACTTCTTAGCATCACTAATACACTAGTTGGATGGAGGTCATCGGCAGGAAGCCCTGCTTTACCTAAGTTTCGTGCTTTTTGATACTCGTCAGCAAAGCCTCGAAAAAAGCAACATCCCTTTGAGATTCGAACAGCTTTTGGTGATAGCAGATATCACTTTCAGTACTTTATCGTTCATGTTAACTTACCACTCAGTTTCTTATTGTAAAGTTGGAAAACTTGAACCTATAAACAGCTATGCTAGATCATGCGTTATGTCTTTATGGAATATTTATATTCACATGGCTCAATATTCGGAAGCGATAGTTTTCGGTCACGAATTCGATTATCTGAGCTTCATCATATCTACAGCCCTAACTGACCACCGAATAATCACTTCCCTTATAAGCCTTACTAAAACGCAATATAGGAGTTAGTTCACGGTTGCACTCCAATTTTGGGCTCAGCTCCAAGTTCCAGGCCGGAAATCCGTTTACTTGAACACTATTGTCTCTAAGCCCAGAGGATCGATCCCCTCACCGAGCAGGAAGCATCCATCAGTAACAACTCCACATGAAACGAACACTCCTGGCATAGCATATCTGGTTAACGCTCCCGCAAATTTTGTCTTCAGTGAATCTCCAACGACTCCGCGTTCGCCGGGTAATGGACTCACTTCCCCATGAGCAGATTTGCGTGGGATATCTCTTACTGCTAATCCACAATCTTGCGGAAAGTGATGCAGTACACCTCCCCAGGAGACAATGCCTGTCCCTTGGTTACCAGAAGCTCACTCCCGGGCACCATATGTGTGGCTTAGCTACAGCAAATGAATCCCAGAACTCTGGGCCGAGTACCACTCGAATTCACGAGATAAATTACAAACACTTCTCTTGGGATTGTTTCAGCACCAATGACTACCGGAATTAGGAAGCTTGGCTCACTAACCTTTCTTTAGTGCACTGTTCTTAGAACTAATTAACTAGACAGAGTCCTGATAGATTACAAGTCCGTCAGCGCTTTAGAGATCCGTGCCACTGACAACGCTTCAGGATTTCGTCGACTGCGTTTACCGTTAAGTCAACCGGACGGTGTATTGGTTAGTAATCCAGTGGGGCCACGTGAAGGTTCACCGTTATGTTCATAATTAGGCTCGACCATTATTCACCTGTCCCTCTTCCATTTCAGGCTTTCCAGGTGAGCAGCTCAAATGACCAAACCACCTTACCACGCAGCGCGGGCCTCTACACGCTGATGACCTTAGCACGTCACTGTGGATGGCATGTGGGCACCTTAAGAAAGTCGTAGTTACTCCCGAGACATAGCAGCTAAGTAGAAGTAACTTTGAATAAGTCACCGATACTCCACACCCGCTAATTATCATGAACTGTTTCATAATGCAATGATAAAAAAAATCCAATCACAGACTCGATTTTCACAGTCAATAACTTACTAGAAGTCTACGTGATCGGAAACAAAGAAAGTTGTTCAGAAAAGTAGTAAAATCACTTCAATTGGTATGTTGACGGATTTATATAAACTTCCCTATAATGTCATTATTTAGGGGATATATATGAGTAAAGTGTAGAAACATTAACTTTCACATATTACATTCGTTATTATACATGGCAATCAAACTGTTAGATGTTATTATTACTATTATCAGAATGCCTGGAGAGATGAATATCTACCAGAGAATGACAGGTAATTCAATGGGAGCTCAATACATATCACAATCACGATTTATTGTGTAAGTAATAGCCGCAACTATTTCATTATTGGCCATTATAATCATACGATAGGTAATAACAAGATAAACATATACAAAATCAGAAAAAGCACAAGTGAGAAATTTCTTACCTGTGAAACGACTAAAAACGAAACGAACTCCCTAAATATGCTAAATGAGTAACCATAATATAGATGATTATCAGTATCAAGTAACCGAGTGTGCACAGAAGTAGAAGAATCATGAGGACTGAACAAATTTTTGATTGGTTTAAAACAGACAATTAGGCAAACCAATATAGAACCACAGAGGAGGCCAGTTTCAAATGGTTGTTTCAGAGCGGCCCACTGGTTAAAAAAAAAAAAGAAAGGCATTCTTAACAAAGTGTAAAAGCATTCACTTAAGCACTCTTAAATAAGAAATATAAACTATAGTGATAGCTTACAACGTGGTCCCAGTGATGATAAATGTAGGTGATAGGTGAAATGAAGTAAATAGTATTTTTCATCTAAAGTACAGTAAATTTGTAACAGTATTGAAGTTTAATTGACTTCAAATGTATCAGACTAATTATTATCGCATGTCCATGTAACATATCACTCTAAAGTTTCCCAACCAAACCGTTTTACATAAATAAGTACCTTCAATTCAGAATAGATTTTCACTTTCAAATCTAATATTTCTAATTTTTCTGCAAAAGAATACACGACACGATAGTAACGGGTAAGACAAAACTTCTAAGAAAACTATTTTATCGAAATGAATTTTTGAAAAGATTACTCTGATGCTTCATGTAATTATCAGCACAACCTACTTAATCAAATTCCCTACCGACAACGCGATGATTAACATGCTTATCGAGTCATAGAGAACAGAAGAGATAGTTCTGTGAAGAAAATCTTTTCCGACGATATCATTTCCTAAAGCTGTTCAATCGTATTTATGTATATCATAAACATATAACAGTCTATTACTAAACAATATTTTCATCACTGAGTTAGGGCTAAAACACCGAAATCAACAATGAGAAGTGATTGCGTAATAATCTTTTAGACAATGGAAATAACAAGGAAGACAAAGAGCTGGACAAGGTGAAAATTGTTGGTAGATGAGAAATATGAATGTCTACTTGATAGATAGATGTAAAGAAAGTGAAGAATGAGACAAGGGTCGTAATGAAGGTGATAGTAATAAACTAACCAATTATAATGAAATCGAAAAATGTGAGTGTTAAGACCATGGTAATGCGAGAGATTGGACATACTTCTTTTGCACGCAGAGATCAGGTTTGAAATGATGAATTACCAGTGCTCCTGCTGTGCACAATTGTTGAAAGCGTACTCAGTTTGAACTATTCCAATTGATTCTATCAATGACACTGAAGGAGAACTCTGGTTGAGCTATATGTTCAGAGTTGACCAAATGTTCAAGAATTGAACTGTTAATTGATTTACATTCTCCCCTAACAACCATGCAGAATAGTGCTCAGAGATACGTTCGGAAAGTATACACTTTATGCGACCAACATAACTGGTTCTACTGATGCAAATAAATTTGTAGATACATATTGAGGTGGTAACTTGTCCTTAATGCACACAGAAACCGACTGCTGACTAGAGAAGCCGAATCTAGACAGCCAACTCTTCAGGATCTCTGCTGCCGTATGGCCTTTGAAACCAACGTTTATAAACAAGGTCGTCCCTGGAACTGTGAGTACTTTCTCTGTATTCTGTTTTAATTTCAAGTTCTTCTCAATAAATCTGGATGGGTATTCATTTTGCATGACAATCTTCCGTAGTTTGTCTAATCCATCGTCCATAGTATCACTCGTGCAGATTCTTCTGATTTTTGAAGATAAAGAATGGATCAGATTCAAGTATTGTCCATTGCATGTAGGCTTCCTATAAATTGATCTCTGAAGAGAGCCATCTGGTCTCTGTTTCAATAAGACATCGAGAAAATGGAAATCTGAGTTCTCTTCGAATTCCGATGTGAAGTTGATTGATGGGTGACAATCATTAAACTTTCTAACTACTGTCCTAATATCTGTATTTTGATCACATATGATGGATGTGTATTATCCATATATCTTTTATATAGGTAGAAACTATCAACTGAAAACAATTTCCATCATCAACTGATATCGCCAATGAAAATTAAGAAGCACTGAGTATCCAAAAGATTCCTCAACAGTGTCCACTATCTACTCGTCACCGTATTCTATTAAAATCCTTCATTTACAGACTTACCAGCAGAGATTAGGGTGATATCAAAACAGTGATAAAAAAGAAACGTAACCCAACAAATAGGCAAAATGAAATATCAGTTCTAAAAAATATATCCAATATGCATACTTACAGTGATGAAATCGAATTCAGGTGCACATACATACAACATTGTATGAAATGTTTTATAACTTGTACCACCAAAAAATGTAATTTATGCTTCAATAAATCCCATATATGACCACCATCATCACTGAATAGTATTTCTTTTCCACCAAAGAATGTATACCTCAAAAAGATTGAGAACACAACGCTTAATCCAAATACTGATATGCAGTTAATTATTACCGGTAAGCACAGAAAACGTATAAAAGGAATATGGATTATTGATGAAAATGTGGAAAATTCATTCTCCTTATTCACCATCGAGTTGAAGGCTGAAAAAAAAATGTTTTTCGAAAAAAGACAATATATTTTATTCAACTTATTTTAATCACTGTTAGATGATATTTTTTAAAGGTTAGTTATTAAAATATGCAAATGAATGATAACTTATCAACGCAAAAGACTTACATATCTGATAGCGGTAATTACACTTAACTGTGGCGTTCGTTTTTAATAAACAATTCGAAACCGAATTAACATACACTCAACAACCTTGTGCATATTCGTGCATTAGGCAATGAACCATATCTATTGTGTGAAGGCTGATGATATTACTCCCTGGTAGCCCAAATATCGGTTGGTGGAAAGGGACTTGAATCCATTACCCATTGGTTGAGTTAATGAGCAACAGTTGTAAGTAACTGAGGTTCCTACGCAGCAAAAGTTATATTATGTAGATGGATTCAACTAGTTTCTTGATCTATAACATCTTTTAGGCACATGACCCGTGTAATTTACACACGAAGATGATGATTCTTTGTAAGGCCTCAGACATGAACAATTAATTATTTGCATAACAATGATTCTATCTATATAGATATTATATGTAATGCCAGACTTTTGAGAATTTTTTTTGAAAATCACTAAAATTAACTACAATTGAAGTGATAGAGAGATTGGGTCACAAAGAAGGATAACTAGGTAGAAAATAGATACAACTTAACCCAATACCAGTGTTTGTGGGCTAGACTTCGAACCATACTTAATGTTTGGCGGTTTATGATAATAAACAAAGTCATTCATACGTCGGCAAGATGATTTCATCCCTCCTAATGTTTATAGACAAATGGATAGCTGTTTTCCTGGCTTTAATATAAATGACCTATTTAAATGTCTTAAATGATTAGCAGCTATGCACAACAACTACTCATTTTTAAGTCATCATCATCTAGTCTGCATGTTGTTGCACATGGTTCGGATAGAAAAGCACAAGTAATTTTGGTGTTGAAGATTCGTTCATCTAGCCTAAAAATTTGTTGTTCCACCTACTCAGCCATTTTTAAATTTTAGCGGTGAGAATTGTGGCAGCCTGCTTGAACTCTGGGTTACCTTATTTTATCATAAAATATATTACATCAAATTTCTCCTTTCTATATTGTTTTAATCATTCAATTATGTCAATCAATAGCATTATACACTATCGTGCGTTTTTAAAAACATTACAACCAATCGCTTTGTAAGTTGATAAGCAAATAAGGAGCACCACGGTGGATGAAAACGGGCTTTCAAGCTTATGATCATAGATCAAGTGACTATTCCGGAAATACTTAGCACAAACTGAAGGAAATTACCGTATAAAGTTGATTACCTTCAGTCACTCTTGCCCACAAATGTTTATCGAAACATGGGTGCAATAATATTACACGAAACATGGCTTAATAACCCGTATGATGATTTAGTCTGAGTTTCTAAGATCGATTAGTTAAACTCTGAGTCAGTAATTTGGAGGTAGCTCGCTCAAATTCTCCTATCCAGATTTCTTTACAACTTTAAACATCATGGAGAAAGAACAGTTGTTCTTTTGTGGAAGCTTACCTTTTGGAGAAGTCCTCCCATCTTTGAACAACATGCAGCGTGTTAGGCTCGTATAATTTTGAAATAGTGGAGAATATTTGTAGCTCAGATGGATGGTCTTGGTTGTATTGCGTTCTCTGAGCTGGGTTGTTTAATCATGAAGCTTTCATCGTCTTTCTAGACGACATCAGCACTAACTTCAGTATGAATTCGGGCACTGATAGAATGTAATTCCGTATTAGATTAGTTTATGTGGTATAGCACAAAGTGATGCAGTATCATTTACCAGATGACATTTCGAACAGAGTTTATTGGTCATATCAAGGTAATCATACAACTTCCTGGTCTACTTTTTATAGTTCTATTGTTTTCCATTCTTTCACTTAATTAATTGCTAGTAAACTTTTCGACACATTCTAGATCAGTGTCGTGTCATTTCGATTACACGTCAAATTGGTGAATAGAGATTCAGTGATCAACATCTCTGTCCACTTAATTACATCAGTCTTCAGGACTGTAACTCTGTCTCACCCTATTGTGTTGTTTGCTATTATCGCATGCATAGTTATGGTTGAATTCTTTCAATTACTCACTTCAGACAATGAGAATTAAGTATGTTAGATTGTTCAATAAAACAAAGACGGGACGGTTATTTAGATGCAAGTATCTATCAAAAACCATCACATCCCCATAGACATCTAGACTTTAGGTCATCTTAACCTACATCAGTAAAGGTGGGTTCAGTCATATATTTAAGTAATCGAGCTAGGAGTTTCTTCGGTAAGTTAAAATTACCAAATATGGGGATGAGACATAAGCCTTGCTTCTGATTAATTATCCTCCTAAATTAATTCAGAAGTACATAATGATACATAGAAAAAGAAGTAGCAATATGAAAAATGATTGCAATGTAATAAAAAAGGAATCCAAGACCTCCATAGTTTTCTCACATAAGGAAGGGAAATCAGAAACCATACACAGGGTTCTCAACAAGACTGGGATTAGGGGGTCATTCAAACCTAAAAACTCTCTGAGAGACAAACTTTGTCGATCTAAGGACATCGACCCAATTAGACGGAATAGTTCAATTTGCCAAATAACTTGCAATGACTGTGACGTCAAGTATATACGTCAAACTAACCGGTGTTGTTCAGGTTAACAGAACATAGGAACCTAGCCGAGTTCGGACTGATAGACCCTACTAAAATGAGTAATTGAAAGAATTCAACCATAACTATGCATGCGATAATAGCAAACAACACAATAGGGTGAGACAGAGTTACAGTCCTGAAGACTGATGTAATTAAGTGGACAGAGATGTTGATCACTGGATCTTTATTCACCAATTCGACGTGTAATCGAAATGACACGACACTGATCTAGAATGTGTCGAAAAGTTTACTAGAAATTAATTAAGTGAAAGAATGGAAAACAATAGAACTATAAAAAGTAGACCAGGAAGTTGTATGATTACCTTGATATGACCAATAAACTCTGTTCGAAACGTGATACTATATAACTGTGTGTGAAATCAAATAGACTAATCTAATGTAGAAAGAAGTATGCATATATCAGACTTTGTTTAAGTCATACAACTCGGATATTCATGACGCAGAGTTATGATAATGAAGCTACTACGAGGATATGCTGACGTCTTGTGTTGGTTAGCGCTTATCGGCAAAATGTATCTAGAAATTTATAAAAAGGAATGTTTCCTCGGAAATGAACCGACCACATCAGATACTATAGATGAGTTAATGACGATAGTAACGTAGTGCTGTAAAATGATGTAATTTCTACCAATCCAACCAGATAAATGTATTAGTTTTGAATAAAATGGACTACTTACTTTCTACCATCCGCTGAAGTATATACATAGTGAATAAACCGCTAAGTAGACAGAATAAATAGCCAGATTGAAGAAGTAAACGATTACCATATTGTAGTATATAGGATACACTGAAAACGACTAAATGCATCCAAAGTATTCGTTTAACTTTTGACAAAAGGTTTAAAATAATCGATTTCTTTTCTACATCGTTAGGTGGCATTGATGATAGTGTCAAACAGAAGGAACAAATAATGGATACAATTTGAGTAAGTAAAGTGAATTGAGCGAATTGCCATGGAAGTTGAAAACTTAGCAGAACAATGCAGTACAATACGGAAGAAATGAAGCTTCGTATTCGACTTGAAGGTAGCTGAAAAAGTAAAAGTGAAGTTGGAAAAATTTGATGAATATATATTCTAAGGTAGCATTCATTATGGACTGACATGAGTTAGAGAACCATTAGAAAACTGGCAGCACTGGACACATGTTTAGTCATAGTATGGAACTCCTCAGCAGCACATACCCACGACCCGGCTAGGAGTCAAACTCAAGACCTTCAGGTTTCACGGCGAATGCGTTAACCATTCAGCCACTGGATCGGAGTTCAATAGTTCATAGTTTCATACTTCTATCGATTCGCGATATAGCGCGACTTTACACCAAGGTCTTTGGTTCTCATCCGCTTCACTTTTGACTGGTTGACCCCACAGATCACGGCTTTTAATTATGGCTTCATGATGTCCATCTCGAAGCATGTCACTAACGAGTGCTAATGCATTTTGAAGTGGATGGGGATTTTATTTTTAACAACAGCTGTTTCATCCTAGTATGGTCAACGCATTCGCCGTGAAACCTAAAGGCCCTGAGTTTAACCACTAGCTAAGTCGTGGGTATGTGCTGCTGAGGAGTCCCGTACTAGAACGAAAAAGCTGTCCAATGCTTCTAGGTTTTCAACAGTTCTCAAATTCATGTCAGTCCATGATAAATACTACCTTAAAAATAAAATCCCCATTAACCTTAATATATATTTTTTATGTGCAGGATTACATTGAACAGCCTTTACAACTGTATCATTTGGCTAGAATAAGCCATATAACCTTTTCATGGAGCAGGAGAAAATGTATGGAAAGTTTAATTTAAAAAACTATGTAAATGATGAGCTTGAAAACAAACCTTCATCATAACCGCTGAAATGAAAAATATAAAGTAATATACAATGATCGACTGAAAACGCTATGTATGAAATATTACCACTGATAAAGTTGATATATTTTTTTTATTCTTTGCTAGTTGTTAGATTTTAGAAGACAATTCCTGTTTATCCCTTTGATTGAAACAAAATAAGAATAAAATCTGTTCACAAACAAAAATCTAGCGTTTCATGCTATAATGACCAATGTGTTTACCAAAATAAACAGAAAATATACAAGTCCATAAACGAGGTGAGCCGTCTTTTTCGAATTATAGACAAATGACCAATGTTGTTTCTCATATTTTAACTGTTATTTTCATTCGCAGTTTACAAAAGTTAAACTCTCTGAAGTCTACTAATAGGTAATGATGGCAGCCTTAACCATTAATATTACGAATAATATGAATAATAATATTATATGTATTCTAACTACTTACCAACAGGCAGCACAGGTTAAAACCAGAAAAATGGAATGATAAGCATCATATCTTACAAAGACCTACATAGTCCAGGGTAATCGATATGTATTAAGGATGCTGCACCAACACCTATGTCAGCGTGTATATCCCATTTAAAACCAGCAGAATGAAATAAGTTTCATTTGGATAACTGGTGTCAATTCATGAAATCTCTATTTTTATGATATATGAAGGCTTTACATTTAGATTACTGAAGATGACCAAAATAGGCAGTTGAAGAGTTTATTCGGTGTTATTCAGGTTTAGAGAAATATATCATTTGTTTAATCGCAGACAATGGATGTCTTTCTATTCAAATATCCTTTTATCATTCATTTAAGTATTCTCGTTGTTTTCCTTTCACATTCTTTGTGATTGTAAGCAACAATATTTTTATTCTTTCGGATTTCTTCTTGTTATCTAGCCCTCAGTAAGTTATTTTTAAGTTTTGACAATATAGAACTCTTGTGTTTGACCACTGCTGCCTTCGTCGCATAGTCCGTGTTTCGTGGTGTCGTAACGCAGAAGTCAGACGTAGAGTTTTAGGCAGGAGAGGTACGATAGTTGACGCGGTTGTGAACCTTGATCGACTGAGATATCTGGCTGGGACATGTGTTACGTATGTCTAGCCACTGTCTGCCTAGTCGTACAATGTTGGCCAAAGTAGGTTAAGGCTGGAAAAAGCCTCGGGTCGGCCAGACTAAAACATGGCATCCATGAATGAAGTTCTTGATTGTTCGCTTGAACCATGTAGGCGGATACAGACTAGCAGGTTGGAGTCCGCGAGACAAAAGAAACCAGTGATTGAAGACTTTAGTTTATATGGCTCAGAATCGATGTCAGTGGCGCGGATGTTTACACACATTATCCTCATCTTAACAGCTGTACTTCACCTCATCATCTACTCATTTCTCCTTTCTCTATTTTACTACTTTCTGCTTCTACTTCCTTTGACTGATTTTTCCTTCCTTCATCTTCATTTTGTTGTTTCGTTACGTGATGTGCTGATATGAGATGTGGCAACTTGAACCACTACGCAATAATGCCTGGTCCTATGTTGATCTTGATGATGATGAGAACTCTTGCGTCGAGTTTGACATTGTTTTAAATTGCCTCTCTGTCTATCTTCGTCTAAGTAGTACCAATAAAGAAGGCCTTTATTCAAATTACTGGGATACTGAAAGCTTGATAATCCCAGAAGAATTCAGAAATATAGCATCTTGTCACAGAGTAAAATTAATGGTGAAATGCTCACTACACTTACTATAGAGCTTCATATATTATAAGTGGAAATAATATTGTAGTTAACTCACCATCTCATAAGATCCAAATTGACCAAATAGAAATGATTGTTGAAGTACAAAGAATGGATAGGCGAAGTTTTCTCTCAATGGTGGAGTCCATTGAACGCGTGTGGCCTCTCTATGATTAGAAAAGTATGCTAAAACTGGTAAAAATGCACCGAAAAGCGGAATTAATAGCTCAGTTCTAGATCGATTGTGGCTCCCAATTCTCGCAACTAACCAACCAGAATACGTTAGACTGAAAAGTATCAAACCGGACAAAATAAAAACTGTATTCACATAAAAGTAGGGTAGTTCTCCAGATCCATCACAGCTTATTATAGATTTACCGGTAATCTTTAGGTGATTAGTCGGTAACGCATCTAACCTAAACAAAACATGAAAAATGACAAAACATTTAAATAATATCATAGACAGAAATGAGAACATCATGAAATTAACCATTAAAACTTTCAACAAAAAACCTTTGAATAAAAGTAACATAAATATTATAGATGAAGTAATAAACGCCTGATCTCAATCCTATCTATTTACGGTAGTGATAAACAAAATTCCACGTTTATACCATCGAAATTAATCTACATTTATGAGTGAAGCTGCAGCCACTCAGTCTAAATAGTCAACGCCCAACCAGTTTGAGCAACTGAAAATTATATTTAGGCCATGCATTAGATTTATCTTACAACCTAATATACAAAGGTATACACATATATCTGTCGATTTTCAAAAATTATTTGAGAAATACAATCAACACCTAATGACAGTTCACTAGTCAACCGTGTCAAGACAATAAGCTTTAGCTCCGCTAACATGAAGTCAATAATGACAAAACAAACATGCACAAATCTGTCACCAACTAGTATTAATTCTGTCTTACTTACTGCTCGGTGTTAAAATAAACATTAAACTGTCATATCAATCATTAGTATTATATATTGTATTTCCAAATTTACCACATTCTTTTAAGCCAACTGTTCACTGTAGAATGGTTAGTCAATATATAAATAATTTTATTTAACTTAACAAGAACAATACATGTTGTTACTTATATTAAAAAAAAGTAAGTTTTATTGGGAGCAACATCGCTCAGTGGGAGGTAGATGCATCCAGCTGTCGAGTACCAAATAGGAGGAAACGCGCAGAATCGACTCTACCGATAATCACTATCCATCATTATTATAAGAATCAGATAGGTCATATCAAACCTGCATAGTGAAGACATAAGTACCCAACGCCCAAGTAAGCGAAGACAAAATACGATATAATACAAAACATAACCATTTCTATAGTCATAAAAAGAAAACGCATCCAGACACTGTAATCTCAACAGGCAAAGAAGACAAAAAGACGAGCTATTTCGAATGTCTTCAAAAACCTCAGACGAAAAAGACTGATTGGAAGAAGAAATATATCCCTTTTTCATAAGGTCTTCCTCCTTGGGCTACACATTAATACATAGTTTCACAATCCAATCAAAATACCAATCAAGTGGTGGGGGGTTGGTGAACAATAATTATAGATTTTCAATAAGTCATGAAGATGAGGTTTTAGAAATTAAGGTGTAAATAATCAACAGAGTAATTAAAACTGGAAATATGAAGCAGGCTATTCTTGGGTAAATCGAGTGATTTTTGGTGAGTGTTCAGTCATAAACAATAGATTACTACGTAGTAACAAGAAGACAACTGAATATTGATAGAAACAAGTGGGGGAAGAGGTGTAGAAATTTTAAATTTTCCGGAAGCTCTTCTACAGCGTGGAATCTCTCTGTAGCATTTTTCAACATTTCAGTGGAATAAAATCTTAGTGAGTCAGTCTGATTCGGAGCATAGCGTTTCAGTGTTCTTGCATTGGGCCTAACCCCAATGTTAAGGATGCTAAATGAGTATCTGAAGTACAGCGTAAGGCTCTGTGAAGCAAAGGTTACTATAGATTTCACCGACGAATGCATTACGACAAATCGTTACCTTAAAGAATATTGGTTTGGTATCAGAGATGAGATTCCCGACTAACCCAGGTGAGTTTGTGCACAATTTTTCTACTATCGATCTTGATGCTATATAATTGGAAGTTTTGTCACTTGAACCAAACGTTTATGATAGCCATGATACGATTAGTAAGATGGAAACAGAAGTGCAGTCTGAGAACTTGTATACACAGACGAAAGGTTTGGTACCGTCATCTAGTGAAGATGTTGACATGGTTGAGGAAGGGACAAATTAGAGCAATAAAGAGCTCCATACTTTCACACCTAGTTGACACGGGACATCAAGCAGATACTAGAAAAGCTTTCAAAATTATTCATCACATTCCAATTAATTTACCACATGGATTACTCACTTGCGTACTTCACATAACAGAGGCGATTGCAATCCGCCTTTACAAACCTAACCTTTGTATTCAAAAGATGTTTGTTCAACCTACTTTCATCATTGTGGATGTCAATATGATGTAACCTCTAGTATTTCTTTTTACACCTCTTCCCCCACTTGTTTCTATCAATATTCAGTTGTCTTCTTGTTACTACGTAGTAATCTATTGTTTATGACTGAACACTCACCAAAAATCACTCGATTTACCCAAGAATAGCCTGCTTCATATTTCCAGTTTTAATTACTCTGTTGATTATTTACACCTTAATTTCTAAAACCTCATCTTCATGACTTATTGAAAATCTATAATTATTGTTCACCAACCCCCCACCACTTGATTGGTATTTTGATTGGATTGTGAAACTATGTATTAATGTGTAGCCCAAGGAGGAAGACCTTATGAAAAAGGGATATATTTCTTCGTTCAATCAGTCTTTTTTTCCAAATGTCTAAATGGAACTATGCAATTTACTAAAAATTAAGAAGTTTCAGGTTTTTCTTTCACGAAAACTTATGATGGAGCTGCAGGCCCTGTCACCAAGGATGGTACGTATGGTGATTTGAAGGTTGCATCAGCCTTGATGGGGTGATTGGTGACCAAAGTTATGTACGAATAAAAATAACCTTTTAAACAGCAATAATTACTGAAACACAGGCTTCTTCGAAGCATTGCTTCAATGCTGTAGAAGCAAACAGTGAACCATATTGATATTAGACTGCGTTTTTCACAAGGAATGATAGTTGATAATGTTTACCAAGATGTAAATTATTAATTATTAAAGTAGAATAAAGTTGGTGAAACTGTGCAGAAATAAAACATAATTTAAATCCATGAATTTACTGACTAGCGAATTAGGGCGTTTAAGTATACCTAGACTACCGCATACAGTCCTAGGTGATATGGTTGAAAACCAAGAATAATAAACACCTCAGCATTCGCAAGTTTTTGTCCTCATATTTTCTACTTTAACCACCTAATCTTTCCTTTTTTGACTTGCTTTTTCATGCTTTTGTGAAATTTGACAACTTGAAAGCAAGCACTTTTTCATGAGGCTATACTGTTTTATCTGCTTGACTCAATATGATATGATTTAATACTGAACACCGCAATAATGACACAAAAAGCTAATCCCAAGACGCCTTAATTTAATCTGCAATCCAGATACTAAGAAATACAAAGAAGATAAAGCAAAAGGAAACTGAACGGGCCCACTTTCGATCTCAACTGATAGGGAAAAGGCGAAAACTAATATGCATAAGTAGGTTTTGGCAGGGTGACCTAACGAATTCGCTAATCATGGAGAAGGTTTACGGCGATAGATTTAGCATTTCAAGAAATTTAACACTTTTCATAAAGGTATGGTTGGATTTCTGACATTTTCAAACTGAATTTGTGGGAAATAATGTGGTATTTCCGAAGACAATAACATCAACTCAAAAGCTTTATAGTAGCTTCATTGAGCCGAAAAAACGTTCTTGTGCTGCATAAATCTTCAAGTTGCCATATCATTTTGTTTGTCTTTCTACGTACTATACTATATGTAAACAGAAGACATAGTAACTATAAGAAAAGGGGTCTCCTACTGATTCATCATTATGCTTAGTTAATAACTTAGTAGAAGGTAAGGAATAATTTGAAAACTGAAGTGGAGAGAAACAAGCACTTGGTTTACTTCCACTGCTTTACATACAGATATTTATTAATATAGTTTAAAACTGATACATTCCAGTGGTAAAATGAGCAGCAGATTTGGATTAAAAATCCCCAAGACTAGTGTACATATTGCTATGCATTCCGTTACAGACTAGTCAATTTCATCATACTGCAAAACGACAGTTTACACTGTGGAATTCACTGTTTTTGAACATACTAAGTTTTGCTGGTTTTGTCAGATGTTGGACTATATAATAAAACACTTAGATAAATTTCGGTTTTCACTTCAAAAAAGGTGTCAACTTTCCCTAAAAGAACTTTGAATCAATGTTTCCAGGTAAAAAAAAAGGCACGTTTTCGTCGATAAATTATATTGAAATAAGGTGTTCTAGAGAGACTCCAAAGAACAAAATAAGGAAATTGTATTCGTTAACTCTTCATCGAAACCCCTTACTTTCACAGAAAGTGTACTGATGGGTTTAAACATTATCTAGTAGACTATGGCATATCAAATATTTAAACTGATAGCGTGTACCCACTTTTAGTAATGATTTTCAAGAATAATGTGCAAAGTTTTAAGCGTAAACACAGTTTGATCTTGAGAAGGGCGTGAGATACTCTCACAATTTCCATGTAGTAATATACAAGCGATTTCTTGATTTGTAATAAACCTTTATTTCACATTAATTTTTAACAAAATAAATAAGAAAGACCAATCGAAAATCTGATTTTGTCTGGATTGGTAAGTAATTGTTTCAAGAGAATATCTCAGTTATATGCAAAACGCCCATAATATTCCTTTATGGAATGAAAAAAGAGATAATTTGAAATGCGTCAACTTTATGCAATCTACAGTTAAGCATGATTATGAAAAGATGCTAGAACGAGTAAGAGTACTCACTACTCTAGTTAAATACCCACTAAGTAGCATTATGCAAATTTTAGGTCAAAACCTTTGGTTGTAACTTTATAGTCAATCTTCTCACAATGTTAAACATGGTATCCGTTTTCAAAAGCTCCAGTATAATACACTAATAAATAACAATTACAATGATGAAAGTGTTCACAATGAGAATTTTGCATCAACTCACCTTCTAAGTTGTGAAGAATTCTTCAAAACATTATGATCCACAGCAATTGCAATAGAATCAATCGGTGGATCCCTTTTAACTTGAAAACAGTAACTTTTAAGCAAACCAAATGATTTCAAAAATCTATAAGCACCAGCTAACAACAACTCAGGATATAAATTAAATCGTTCAATAGCATTAAGGCTTGGACATGAACTATCTTGTTGAATATCTTCAGTAAATGTAAGAATAAGAAATTAAAAATTACCTGTATTACCAGTTAGATTTAAGCAAGCTGGATACTCTGTTCGAGTGTCATTAAGCAATGAATTGAATCCATCCACAAAAGTTGGTGCCAAAACAATCTAAATAAAAAGTATATATTTTGAAAGACAAACAAATACTAAACTAGTCATGTAACAATTATATCCCACTTAATAGACGGATAAGAATATTAGGACTAGACTTAAAAGTTTACGACTCGAATAGTATCGTATTTCAGTAGATTGTTTAGAAGGTGCCAACTAAAATGAGTGCAATAAATGGCATAAGTATTTCTATGCAAAATCGAAAACTATCAAAAAGAGAAATGATATCATAGTAATAAAAACATAAGTGAATGAGAAATTAATCATTTTATATATGCTTTAAAGAGATATTGATACTATTGGTAATTGTACACTATCATTAATCATGGAATGAATATGAAGAACAAACAAATATAGTGTAACTCAGTGATAAATCCTATAAACAATATCGTTTACAATAGTTTTGCTTGGTTGTGGCTAGCAGGAAAACCCAGTATGCACCTTTCGTCCTACTTGGGACTCGTCAGCTAAGTGTGCATACACCCCAGTGAGTGTTGTTCACACCGAGACTCGTACCTCGTACGCATCGCTTCAAACGATAAGGCGTTATCCACTATGCTACGGAGGCACGGTAGCCGCTTCTTGTACGACGGGTATTAACTATTACTATTGTAGCAGGCGTTGCTGATTACAACGGATATAAGTAGTATATATCGAGAGGGAATTACCGGCAATGGGTAAGGTTGTTGATTTGTTCTTGCTAGTTATTTACCTCTGGTGACTCCACTACCGCTACTCCTGTACCTATTAGCTGTCTGGTCACCTTGGCCATTTCGCTAATGTCCATGGGCTGGGCTGCATTGACTAGTCGTAACTGGCAGGCAATGGCATTCGGGACACTCAGTGAACCGTGCGGTCATCAACTGTTGTTGGGCATCCTCATCCAACGTGGGAAGCGCTCATCGAAGTAGTTTGGTCAGCTTCACAGCCAACACCAGCGGATCTTCGTCTATTTCCAGCTTCGCGCTGCGGAACTGCTGCATCGCCTGATCCCTGTCCGCCGAGCTGTCGAACTCCGCCTCCAGGTGCTGAACCATTCTCCACCAAGTGTTCTTCCCGTCACCACGTTCCACTCCGTCATATGCTGCTTTCGCTCTGCCCTGCAGAGATGTTCCCAGCACCACGACCTTCGCCTCCAGATCCTGAACCCCCACCAGCTCCGCTACCGCCTCGAAGTCCTTGAGGAAGACCTTGATGTCCCCATGCTCGAACTCTGCAGGCCATAGGATCTTCATCATGTCCAAAGGCAGCGACACCAATTGAAGAGACAGAAGACAACTTGACGAGAGAATGTTTATTACGAACAATTGGGATGGTAGTGGTTACATATGGTACACCTTTCACTAACCCAGCCATTTGCCAATGTCTTCGTTTCCTCCTCTGTTCCCGTCTTGATTTGCTCTTGACCTGCTCTTCATACACTCTTATCACCAGCATCCCCTGTAATACGTCTGTGTTATTCCCTGCGTTGCTCTTTGCAGAAACCTTACCCATTGCTGGTAATTCCCTATGATTCCTGCCACCCTCTCGATATATACTACTTATATCCATTGTAATCAGCCACGCCCACTACACTATCTACTGATATACTTGTAATTCTCCGTTGTTTTATTGGATCGGATTGTTCGACCTCTATTGGCATATGGGTTCCTATGCGGGTGTCTCGATCTTGCCTGAATGTTGATTATGATGGTCCAACCTAAGTGGTGTACTGGATAACGCCATGGCGTTTGAAGCGATGGTTACGAAGTTCGAGTCCCAGTGGGGGGACACTCACTGGGGTGCAGGTAGATCCAGCGGATGAGTCCTAAATAGAACGAAACGTGCATCCTGGGTTCTTCTGCCAGACACAACCCAGTAAAATCATCATACTTAACACTCAGGCAATATCTGCGTAGGAGACTATGTGCCAATAGACACTAAACAATTCGATCCAATAAAACAATGGAGAATTACAAGTATACCAATGAATAGCAGTGTCGTTTACAGTAAAGACATTTATCTCTCAAGAGTGTGCATACTTACATGATCAAAATGGGTTTCGACCAGTTACTGCGAAAATAAATTTAATGCCAACGTGACTTATACTAATAATATTCCTTTTACACTGAATATATATATGTGCAAAGAGAGAGAACTGTTTAATAAAACGGAAGTTATCCATGTGTATACAATGTTACCAGCATGGTCGCTTGATACTACAGCGACACTAATCTTCAAATAACAAACGAAGCAGTAAGGTCCATGCGGCACCTTCCACCGTCAGTTAGAGGACTAAACTATCTAGTGAGCGAAAACAGACTGCAAAACTAAGCCCCAAAACTTTAAAACTAGATTGTATCTTTTTATAAATTGCCAAAATATACAAGCTCCAAAAAGGAATAAAAAGTGAATAAAAAATCACCATACGGTATTTTGGTGCAATTCAAATATGTGGAAAACAGCAATCTTAACAAACATAGTTAACTAGCAAACATGTATATCTATATTTAAGTTAATATAGGAGTAAAATTTGGACACTGTGGTCGATTGTAATTCCATTTTAGTCTGGTTATTAGAAATGTCACGCAGTGAAACAGTATCATTTACTGGATAACGTTCCGGACACAATTTATTGTCCATAATCATATTAGATGACCCTTCAAGACAGAGTTTATATATTCCTAGTTTTCTTTCCTTCTCTGTGATAACAAGGGTAGAAGAATTTTCCATATATCTGGGACAGGTGCAGAAATCATTTCGATTGGATGTATTTGGTGTTGATTCGATAAACAAAGATTCGGTTATCAATCTCACCCTCCACTTAACTGTTAGTTTTTAACGCTATCGCTCTATCCCATCCTACTGTGTGATTGTGTGTAATTGCGTGCAGTGTTATAGTCGAGCTTTTCTCACAGTAGGGTAGGATAGGGTGACAGTGCTGAAAACTAACAGTTGGGTGGAGGGTGAGATTGATAACCGAATCTTTGTTTATCGAATCAACACCAAATACATCCAATCGAAATGATTTCTGCACCTGTCCCAGATATATGGAAAATTCTACTACCCTTGTTATCACAGAGAAGGAGAGAAAACTAGGAATATATAAACTCTGTCTTGAAGTTGTAGAGTCATCTGATATGAATATGGACAGTAAATTGTGTCCGGAACGTTATCCAGTAAATGATACTATTTCACGGTATATTTGTTATATATTAAGCCAGTTTTAAGGTGGCACGTTTTCTTTTACACGCGATAAAAACGCCCCATAATCTCTATCAAATTTAAATGTCAATTTGGTACTTAAACAGTTTCAACATTATATCATGCAAATTTCTTCTGTAGATAAAGCATATACGACTTTTGAATAATAAGAATCTCTAAAATATGCAATATGGTACAAACGCAACAAACAGTTACATTTCAGTATTTCTTTGCTGATTAGTGTCTTTTTTAGCTAAGAAAGCTCTTAAGTAAGGAATAATGCATTCAGGAACAACAAAGCTCATTATCTTCCTGTTAAACAGAAGTTGGTTGACATCACTTTGCACAAAAGCTTTTCGCACACATATCTCGATACTATGAATGATTTGAATACATTATGATTAGGTAGTGGCTTATGTATTGGTTACAAGGAAGCTCGTTGCATCCTATCTATTCAACATCGTTGTAGAGTTTATATGCCAGAGAAAGCTAAAATAATGTTGTCCAAACCATAAAAATTCGACGGATTATAAGTGTTGCGCAGAATATGACTATTGTGAATCGGTGAATAAAAATCTAAAATCTGAACTGGCCAGGAAGATCAGTGGTAGATTCTGGTATACGAACTTTGACATCAAACTAAATTCCAATACATCCAACAGTTAAATTTTAAGCAGGTTTATAGTGATCTTGGTAACTGGTAGAGGAGTGCAGGATGCGCGTTTTGTCCTATTTAAGACATATCAGCTGGATTTACCTGCACCCCAGTGAGTGAAGTTGCTCCCACTGGTGCTCGAGCCCAGTGCCCATTGCTTCAAACGCCACAGCGTTATCCACTAATCCACTGGGGCACGATAGCCATCTCTTGTGCAACGAGTGTATCAGTTGTTGTAATGATGCTTTCAATTTCCCGTTGCTATACAGGGTCGAATTGCTCAACCTCTGTTGGTAGATAGGCTCGTATACGGAGGCCTCGATACCGCTGGATATTTATGATGTTATGTTGATCTTGGTGACTCGTCAGCTGGCGGATGACCCTCTGGCATTTGAAGCGAAGGTTACTGAGTTCAAGCCTCAGTAGGAACAACATCACTCACCGGGATGCAAGTACATCCACCTGACGAGTCCCAAATAAGACGAAACGCGCATCCTGGATTCATCTGCTAACCACCAAGATCAATATAACATTATGAATATCTAGCAGTATCGAGACATGTGTGTAGGAGCCCATCTACCAACAGAGGTTGAGCAATTCGACCCTGTATAGCAACGAGAAATTACAAGTATCATTACAACTTTAAGTAGGTTTACTTGAATGTTTTCCACCTTTCCTATGAAGACCAAACAAAATGCTAAGGTACAGAACTAAAAATAAGGATATAATGTTTAATTTATTAGTAGGATAGAATGGAGTAAAAATGTAATGTCCAATCTAACATTTATTCAGAACATCTACTGTATCATGATAAAGTTATGAAATATTAATATACAATCTCGATCATCATCAGGTGAAAACCGAAATGCTAAATAGACAAGAGTCCATTTAGAAATATAGAAATATTGCTTTTAATAACCAATCTCATATTGTTTCCTAATGTTATAGACAATGACATTTTGCTCACTTTTGTAATAAGATATTCACTGTTCAATTCACCTTCAAAGCAAGCAATATTATAATCAAGTATTTACTGTAAATAAATTTAATGACAATAGAATTCATTCAAATAAGTATGTCAATGATAGATAAATTAATAAAAATTCAGACTTATAAAGTAAACTCATGACATAACGAAAATAAATCCATTTTACCTGTTTGAAGTAGGAGTAATAAAATCCCATTTCAGTCCTAAATGTCATTTCTCGTTCCATATTAGACAAATGAGAAAAGAAAAGATCATTTTCATGAAGATTTGAAACATGATACCAATGCAAATAACCAGCTGTTACTGCCATAAGAAATACAATAACGCAAAGCGTTATATTTGACCGGTAGAATTTTTTTCCGTTTTTGGTCACCTTTAACTTTTTAGCTGATACATTTGTTTCGATTGATGAACGAATAGATTTGCGAGGTTTCGCTTCGGAATATCCCATTCAAGTGACTGAAATCCAAGAAACCTGAGATAAAAAAATCTCTATAACTAAATATGCAGCAAAAACTAATGAAATAAAAGTAAATTTAATGTAACTTAACCTTGTACAGGTGTTTATGTACCAGACTATAAGCCACATGCAATGCATGACGGTTTATTATACTTGGTTGCCCAGGTCAGAGTAGATAGAGTGGGGTTTAAACCCATCGGTTGCAAGTCAAATGTTAAAGCTAACAAGCTACATCTGAAATCTATATAACAACTAACGTTTACTTAGCGTTTAAAAATAATCCATGACACAATTAGTGTTCTGTAAAACCGCACATTTTAATTGATATCACCAAGTCTTTCAGTAAAAACGATATAGAATCCATCTTTACTAGCTAAATATGAATTTGTGTATCAAATTCAGTTGCACCCGATGAGTAAGGTTCAATGATACTACTTAACATGTAGGAATGGTGTGTAGAGATGTTAACCCACAATTGAACAGTTGAGAGTAATGAGCAAAATACTGATCTTTGGGTATATTTTTCTTAATGAGTGTACGAAGTATAACCAAAGCATTAGCCACTAATACGTTTATTAAATAAAAGCTCAATTCATCCATTGAGTATATGTTTTATGTAGTAAGACATAGGCCACACGTACAACGTCAGTGGCTATGTAAGCATCTGGAATAGAGTTCGAACTCAGAACATATTGGTTGGAAGCCAGGTACTTAAACAAATGAGCTGAGTATTCACAAACTACGCTGAACCACACACTACACTCCCTGGCTGTCTAATACTACTAAGTGAAGTGGTACTCAAACTTGTGGCCAACCGGTTGAAAGTCGGCTACCTAGGCAGGTGAACTACAGCTTTTCAATAACCACTGTGTAGTGACTAGTAGTTTGGAGCAACCAATGTTACCGAAATCATCACCTGAATATCGATCGAAAACGAATCGTCAGCCCGAAATCAATGCATTTTTGAGACACTTTACCTACCTTGGTAAAGTTGCTCAACGAAAAGATACGGCTTACATTTAACATTGTAAGTAGTACTATACAAGACAATAGGGCTTTAACATGATTGCCAGAAGAAATAAAAGGTAACGAAAGCTTCGAAGTTGAAAATGCCAAAGCTGTAGTAACCACAATACTGGACAGTGTTTACTTTGACAGAATTAGTATGTGATGGTAACGATTTGATGTCCGAGAAAATCTGGGGGGAGAAAACTACATACAACCTAAATATTTCCAGAATGATGGTCTAATGCTTTATCAGCTCAAATAAGAGGCATGATTAGTGGTCAGGTATCAGTTCTGCATCAGTTAACAAATGATAAACCTCTACAGAAGAGCTCTCCAAAATGGCAAGTCGTTTCAATTATTCTTAATAAGGACACTGAATATTAATGAATTACAGCGACTAAACTTTTTACTGCGTTTTGTATACTCTTCAGACATGAAAAACTAATTTTGTTACCAATATATTCATAGTCTAGCTTGGTTTGGTAAAAATATAGTACTACTGATCATTAATAGTATTCTCATTCTTATAGCTAGATTTCGTCACAGACTTGATTTTTTTTTACCTATGAAATGTTTGTTTTTCGTAAAGTAGTAAGTAGCTGTAGATGTTGAAGTTAGTAGGCGGAGAGCATTGAACCTAGGTTTCATGCTTGTTTGTACTCGTTAGCATTCTGTATTTGAAACCCTGGTAGGAGCGGCTTCCCTTGAAAGATACAAACTTATTTCACCCAGTGCTGCAGCCAGAGATTTTATTAATGAGCTGTTCAGGACACGAATCCCTCCTTTAGGACTGGATTATGTACACGAATCGGTTACCACTGCGCAAATAATGTGGCTGTCTAGTTCTCAATGCTTTGTGCTGGTCGGAATCTATTGATCAATTCACATAATTCGGTCACTAAGTGAAGTGAAATAACACTCCAGTACACGGTATTTTGGCGTTAGATGGTGACAGTCAATCGGCAGGAAGCCCTGGATCCAGGTTTCGTGTTTGTTGGCAATGATTATCATGGTGTATCTGAAACTATGGCAAAACTGGTGTGCTCTCAGTGATACAAATCTGAATTAGTCAGTTCTGAAGTCAGGTAGTGACTGACATCCTGTACGACTGGAGTAGATACATTAGTCAGTCACTGGTGAGTAACTTATTTCCTGTTGTCGACTCCTGTAGATTTCAGGAACGAAAACCATAAATAAAATGAGTCAAAATCAATCGGAGAAAATCAAATATATTTACTTCGCATTATACGTTAAATCTCGGAGATATCATCTGATACTAACATTCATCAATGTTAACTCATTTACAGCTAACTTTCACATTTTATTTCTCATCCTTTTCTTCTTACCACTTCGAAATTCTGACAGATTGAAGTAATACAGTGGTGTGACGAATGCAACATAATTCTAAATGTGTTTGAAAAATTCTATAACATTTGCACTACCAATTATTGTCAGATGAAAGACTTCATCTAGTTATAAAGTCATAAGTCCTCGTAAGGATGGTTATCATTTGTTGTCTTACATAAGGTGAGTAGATGCATAAAGGTTGCCTTCTAAATAAAGGCTTACTTTCTGGTATACAGTCCACATCTAAAAGAAGAAGATGTCTTGAACCACTCTGAAAGAAGCATTTTCCACAAAAATTCTAAGGCTTTTGTTTCGAACAACACTTATGTGTAGCTAAATTGATACCCTTCAAAACGTATGTCCAAATAATTGTTTTCCGATATTCACAGCTGTTTTACAATATGTAGATTTATCTGCAGTGACTTCAAACAAATTTAATGATGGCAGGAGAACCTGATACACTCATATTATTTTTCTTAAGAGATGGGACAGAAGATTAATCCAACCCTTTATTCATTTTCGTTTCAAACACGGAGCACAAATGGGAAAATGGTAAGCACTACTTTTTCAAGTAGATGTACGTAAAAGGTTGAATGGTGAAGTTCAGATATCAACTCATGATTAAGTATAAAAGCTACCATGAAACATTTTCTCTATAAAGGCAAGCCTTGCTTAGTGATAAAGTCGACCATGATAATAATCCATGTAGGAAGTTGTTTATTGATATTGTGAATTATAAAACACTCATCACAGGTCTTTAAATAATTTAAATTCTCCAATACACTTCATCGAAACGTAAAATCAAATAAACGTTATTTCTACACCTTGAAAAGAAAAACTGTTAATATGACGTATGTTGTAATAGCCTGTCTCTCAAAGACCAAGTGACAGTTAAAAATGAAGGTGAAGAAAGACTAATCCCCTGGCCAACATTATATTCACCTTACAATTCCAAAAGAATTCATTTGTGTCAATTTCTTTCCAGATGTTGACAGTCAATGGCTAGACTCATGATGATCTGGGTGAAATAGATAATGGTGACACGGATGCATTCAACTTTAATACCTTTAAAATCCTAAGCTTCTGACTTGCCTGCCTTTAGTTGTCCGGTCTTCTTTTATTCCTTCATGTTTATTTTAATACAATTTTATATACTCTGATTTTCCCCATGCTGCTGAGAAATGTAAGAACTTGGGCTAATGCCATGCTTTTCAAGAAGTTTTAGCTCACTGATCCAGGGGCTCGAATTCCAACAGTATGCCACGAATTCGAGACTTGTTCCACCAACAGATGTCTGGTCAACCAGATAATACCATTAAGCTTCATAAAACAGGCATTACTAATTGTCTACAGTATGAACGTTTATGTGGGAACTGGGTATATTCCTGTTTTTTCGTGAGGTGTAAATATCAGTGTTTTCAGGCTAGTTTCTATAGATGGTCGAAGTATACCAGCAATCAACTTCCTGCATATTAGCAATTGGTGTGGGAGTGAGGGACTGCAGGTATCATGCACCAAGAGATGAGAAAAAATCTACATGGAAAAAAGCAAAATGAAAAGGATCGCTTTCATAAAATTTCATCTAGATTTTCACACACTAGTTGTCAACCTTTTGTCTTCAGACTAATCAGGATAGAAATTGTTTGGGCATTTTCAACACTTGTGTAGTAGTAGTAGTAGTACACAAAACCAACATCATTGAAACGACGAGAAGCCGAAAAGGAGCAACTTGTATCCATGTGTACAAGCCAAAGTAGCTACACTTTATTTCGTCATAAGAATCAAAAAATACAAAGATTCGAAAAGTAAAAAAATACGAAACGACATTCCTCATATTCCTTTGTTAAGTTGAAACCAAAAACGTAAAATCGAGTTATTAAGATACTTAGGATCCTGATGATTTTGAAAACTGAATATTGCTGCGTGTTTACGTAATTGTTTCATATAGGACCGTCGGTGGTATTTGACTGAAGATTCTCAGCATTTTAGATGCCTCAAAGAAAAAAGCGCACCCCTCATCACAGAAAAGTTGTAAAAAGTGACATTTGGCCACAATTTACCTGTTTTAAATTACTGACAATGTCTTTCCAGACAGCATCCTTTTCGTAAAATATTTATACATGAGACTCATTATAAGCAATATCAACCTGCATACAGTTAGTGTGAGGTAAAACCAATTTCGATTCCCTAGAAAAAACACATGAAGTTGGGTCTTGTATATAGGAAGCTTTTATTAGGTATAGCTTCAAAGTTTAACGTAAAAATTTCAGCCTTTATGTCTGAAATGTTACTAAACGTTTTATTTTCTCTACCATATGTATTGCCTCACTTAACGGCCTTACAACTGTAGGCTCACTACAGCCACTGAATAAAACCCAAAACTTCATAACCGTGCTCAGTTTTGTCAATTTTCGTGAGTGAATGCAAAATCCCCAAAGTTTCCTTAGTGCACCCGTTTTCGCAATAAGGTAAACATACTACAGAATAACAGCATACATGTGAATAATTTTGGTTATTCTATGCTTAATCCTAACACAATCAGTGTGTAAAGGAATGTAGGCCTTGTTCAAGTTAGAAAGTTTAGGAAAAAACAAATTTAGAGATGTGCCTAAAAGTTAGAAGTCCGGCTGGAACTT